ATTTGAAGTCATATTTGTTGTATTGCCTGAACCATTCTGTAGGTTTATGCTATTAATATTATGAGTATATTAACTGGTGTCCATAAATATCTAGTTTCCAATCCTTACCTTGTTCCATTGATAATGTTTATTTAATATTAGTCATAAGTAAAATGATCGAAAACTCATTAATTTGATGATATTGTTTCTAACCGTAAGAAATGTGGATGTAAGTTATTAGTTTTTTTAAAAAGCGTAATCTTTGAAAACTTTCCAAACATTTGATTATGATAAATATTCAAAACAATCTTAATATTTACGTTTATTGCTTACTTACCTAAGTATTTTACGAAACATGCTGATTATTACATACAAAAGCGTAAAGTATAATAAGTGTAACTGAAAACTTTAATACTTACGTTTTCCCTTTTATGGGTATGAATATACAGTTATACAGCATTTTATCATAACAGTATTTTTGTACTTAAAACAGATATTCTAGCTTATAATTTTTGTTACTAACTGACTTTTAATGATTATTAATTAGCTAAAATCAGTTCATTATGGTGAACTGGAGATTTTATAATAGAATACCTAAAATATCTATAACTAATTGGTTTCAAACAGATATCGGTTATATTGTAGTAAACGTGAACACAAGTGTGGAAAATCGAATATATTTGATTTTAAAAAATTACAGAACGTCTTAGTAAAATCTGAGAACCATTCAGTAAATAAGTCATTTGCAAAATATCAATCAATCGTCTCAGACTTCATCGTTCTTTCGTCCCTACACAAATCATTCTCTGTTCTCATTCTCTTATATTCGATCTTCTTAACCATCTACCGCCAGGCATTTCTTTTTTGATTGATGATACATACTACTTATATCTGTCGACATCGGTAGCATACATCACAATACTAATAAAAATTATTCATACAATCTATTAGTAGTATATTTCAATCCAGGCGATTAATTTAATATGAATAAATTGAATGCCTAAATTTAGCCTAAAGCATCAATCTTTCGTGATTAGTTGTGAAAAAAGAAATGTAAATTATCATTGATATAAGCAAAATTGGATAGTGACTAGCAGTATAGTCTAGAACGCGCGGTTTGTCCTATTTAGGACTCCTTAAGTGGATAACGCGATAATGTTTGAAGCGAACGGCACCAGGTTTGAGTTCCAGAGTTAACATTAATTCTGTAATGCAGGTACATCTAGCTGGCTAGTACCAACTAAGACGAAACGCCCATCTTGGATTCGATTACTATTCACTATCTATCTTTGCTTATAATACTTGTGAATTAAGGGAATATCGAAGCAATACACACAGTATGAACATATATCGATAAGAGACTGGTCGATTACAGTCCTAAACATCATTGAAAAGATTCAAGTAAACAATACCGAATGAATTTATCAATTACATATATTTTATAAAATTTATTCATTATTACGCAATTTATTTTTCTTTTGTTTTCAGAGTTTAACTAAACTACGTGAATTTGTTATTTCTTTATTACAACAAATACAATCGAATTCAAATATTAATTTTAATAAATATGTGAATCATTTCAATGAAAATAGAATTGATAATTCATTATTAAATAGATTAATTCTATCAAACAACAACAACAATAATAATAATAATAATCGAATTTCTAATATTCATCAACAAGTTTATGATATTATACGTTCTCCATAAAAAAAAACTTGAAATCGATCTTTTGTTTGTTTGTGTGTTTGTTGTTGTTGTCGTCGTCGTCTTGCTTTGTTTTGTTTGTTGTTTTCTTTTCTCATTCAAAATGAATTTTTTATAGAAATGATTTTTTTTTGAAGAAAAGATAAGAAAACCAAATGTAAAAATCATTATTTGTACAAAATATTTATTATTTAAAACAATTAATCCCTTCGATAATTCAATAAGAAGACAAAGTTTATCATAATCATGTGATATATATATATATATATATATATGATACTGACTTATCCAGAGTTGGTATCAGATTGTTTTTCTGTACCTTATTATTTTCTTTGTTACGGCTTATCTTTAACCTGTCTAGTTGAATTTTTAATTTCTCATATATATATAAATGTTCTTAACAAGTATATTACGTGTGATTAGATTAATCGAAATGTATTGCGCTAATCTACTATATAGTTCTGATTAACTTTGTCTTCTTGATTGCATTATCGAAATGTATCATTTAAACAATATTATCACTTTCAATTGAAATTTGTTTAATTTCTTTTTTCTTTTGTTTTCTTTTTTTCTTTTTTTTTAAATCGATAATATTTTTCAATATTTTAAAGGTTAATTTAAAGTTTTCATTTAATTGTATTAAATTAATTTATATTTTGTTCAAATTATGATTTAGTAAAAATTGAATGACCAGTTTAGGGATTGTGGAGATTGTTAAGTTTTTGATTGAGATCATGAACCGATTAGTGTTGGAACACCACTGAAAATCTGGAAGCACTGAACAGCCATTTCGTCCCTTTGTGGGACTCTTCATCAGTGCGCATCCACGATTCCGCTCGCGGGATATATTAGTTCAAAAGGAAGAATGTATTTGTTGAAATCTCAGCGGATGAATTTGAAGTAAAAATTAGGAACACGAAGTTCAGCGATGGGATCTCTTTTCAATGGATTTATTATCAAGCTGTACAATCGTATATATCTGAAAACTTTTTTGTTCAAGTACTATTTCCGTGAGGAAATGTGAACACAAACAACCAAGGTGACGTAATAGAGAGACTATAATACATGAATACGTAATACGAATAATGACAATAGATTTAGTGAATATAATAAGATGATTAAAATGTTTTTGTTCCAATAATTAAAGGTCATAGAGGTGTAAAAGTAAATAAGGTGACATGATGGGTATATATATATATATATATATATATATATATATATATATATATATATACGACTGTACAGCTTGATAATAAATTCGTTGAAAAGATATCCCTTTGCTGAACTTCGTGTTTTTAATTTTAAAAGTTTAAATGGGACTTATCTGTCAATTTGAAGTAAATCCAACGTTTCACTTGACAATCTTTTCCAAGATTTTTCAAGGAAATATTGGTTCAATTTTATTGATTGTTTTATTTTGTAATTAAATTATTGGAAGACTAATATTTGAAGGAAGAATATTCTTTTCGATAAATTCTCTTCAGGTTTTACAATTATATATCCAAATTGATAATCTGAAAAATGGCCAGGTTACGTCTTAAGTCTTTTAATATGATGGGAATCTTTAAATAATTTATTAGAAATATTCAACGTTTTTTTCTAATAATTTAATAGTTGAATTCATGAGTTAATTGAATCTAGACCATCATAGAAAACCTGGAAGCATTGGATGGCCGTTTCGTCCTACAGTATGGGATTTCTCTCTAATAGAAACTATTTCATTCTATGCTTTGAATATTTGCAAAATCAGAAGGGGTTTTGTGGAGATTTTAGAAATCTCACTGATTGAAATCATGAGTCAATTGAAGCTAAACCACCATGCGAAACGTGGAAGCACTGGATGACCGTTTCATCCTAGTATGGGACTGCTCAGCAGTGCGTACTCACTATCGCATCTATCACAATAATAAATCATCACTACATAGTATGATTGTTTATTATTCTATTGAATTTTTCAGTTTGGTAATCAAAATTACAATAAGAATGTAGCTTTTAGACTATTTGGAAACTTATCGATTGGATATATTTACAGTTCATTGTTAGTATTCATACTAAAACGTGATTGATGTATCTGTTATGTCAAGAGAAAAAAATGTGATTATTAATACAATAAGTTTGAGATGTTGTTGAGATACATGTACTAATTTCACTGCTAGTGACCGATTAACAATATATTCGGAAGCTTACATCTGATGTAAGCAATGATGGATAATGGCTAGCAGTGGAATCCAGGACGCACGTTTCGTCCTATTTGGGACTCGTCAGCTGGATGTACCTGCATCTCAGAGTTGATGTTCACTCTGGGACTCGAACCCAGTATCATTCGCTTCAAACGCCATCGCGTTATCCACTTAGCTATTGAGTCCTGATAGTCACATCGTTGTGCAATGAGCTGAATTAAAATTCACTTGGTATTGTTTGGCTGATGGTAATATCAAGAAATCCACTTTAGGAGTTTGTATATCAAAAGCGATTTACAATATTTATTCTTGTATATTACTAAAGACAAAATACAAATTTATGTGAAAAATAATAATTAAATTTTTTAACCTCTTTCTAATAATTCTGCATATTATCAGAATGGGTTTTGTGGAGATTTTAGAAATTTCGCAGATAGAAATCATGAGTCAGTTGAAGCTAGACCACCATTGAAAACCTGGAAGCACTGGACGGCCGTTTCGTCCTAGTGGTCTAATGGTTAAGTGCTCGCGCGCGAAGCCAGTAGGTCCTGGGTTCGAGCCCCGGGTGGTGTGGGGTCGTGGATGCGCACTGCTGAGGAGTCCCATACTAGGACGAAACGCACAGAAAACTACATTCCACTACTAGCCACTATCTGTCTTTGCTTATTAAAATCACTTTTTTGTCAAAAAAAGGTATTTTCTTTACAGAATAACATCCGATGAATATATATATATATATATATATATATATATATATATATATATATATATATATATATATATATATATATATATATATATATATATATATATATATATATATATATATATATATACTTAAGCGGAATAAGATACTTTAAAAAAAATTGAGAACAACTAATTCACATTCAAATGATTCATGAAAGTTTTAATTATGTTCATATTAAACCTTAAATAAACATTCGACTACCGTTCATTAGTTCCTTTAATTTTAATTTAAAAATATACAAATATTTACATATTAAAAATTCCCATTGTGAAAATTAGAACAACACATATAAGCGAACAATTGTTTTCAATTAGATCGTCCTCAGGCTTTACTCTAATATACATGAATATTTATACGAAAATGTCAAACCAATCAAGGCAATTTAGGTCAATAATCACAATGAAATAGAGTAAGTCACCATACATAATAGGTAAAAGTACAAGTTGATAGTAGGAAGATAGGTGTACTGATAGTAGTAAGAACAATAAAATAAAATATGATATCAAAAGTCATATCAATAGTTAAACATTGGAAATAGAAGGTCAAACGTGGGTAAATAGACTTAAAATAATCATCACAAAACATTAAAACCATTACATAATAAGAAGTGAGTAAATAATTAGATAGTGAAGAATACTAAAGGAAAGAGGAAGAAAATGATAAACAAATACTACATGTGAAAATAAGTTTAATGATAACAAAAATAAAATAAAGGGTCATTTGTTAAGTTATGACTGGCCACAGAATAGGTAGAGAAGCGGGGGTTACGAATTTCTTCTGTACACATAAATGGATGTTAAATATATGAATTCCTATGGCTTCAGTTATATGTAGAAGACAGGAACGAACTCCAGTAAGAAATGATAGAGATATACAATAGATCACTTGAAATGCTTCCGATTTATCTACATATTCATAATTAAAAAGTAGTTTTATTATTGTTATATAATGACTATCATTTAATAGGTATAATTTTAACTGTATAACAATGTTTTGTTATAGGATGAATTAATTTATATATACCAGATAATAATGTTTGTTTTAATAATTTCTTATTCAAATAACGTTTATTTTGTTGTTGATATTTATGGTAAAATGTTCTTTGTTTTAATTTATTTTTATTGAAATAAGAAGTTACTCTTTTATTTGATAAACTTAAATCTAATGCTTTTTCATTAGTTTTATTTAAATAATCAATAAATTGTGTTTTATTGAATTCATTTGTTTGTTTATAATTATTTTCAATTAAATTATTTATACTACTTATATTATTATGATTATTCATTATAAATTTATTTAAATTTATTGTTTGATTTGCTTCATCGATATTAAATTGTTTATTAGAATAATATTTACATGAATTTATTGAATGATAACCATATTGATGTAAAATATCTAATATATTTGGAGCCATTTTGAATATTGGTATAGGTATTGGAATAATTAATAATTGATTTAGACTATTTATATCATTATTATTATTAGTAATTATATGATTATGATCATTGTTATTATTATGATTACTTGAAGACATTGATAATTGGTTTATTATACTCATGATTTCTATATGACGATCATTTAATTGATTATTAGGTTCCAGATTTGAATTGATTGTTTCATTATTTAGATTAGTAATAGTTTTAGGATTCATGTTTATATCATGATTAGTATTGATATTACTAGTAGTACTTGTATTGGTTATAGTTGTACTAGGAATATGATCTTTATTTATGATATTTCTAGAATTATTTATGAATTGATTCATATCAAAACGTTGTATAATATAATCATATAATGGAATAGACATTTTAGTATTATCTTTGTTTATGTAATTGTTCAATTGTGAATACATTTGTAAATGTGAAAAGAAATCATAATTTGACCTTTGAGAATTATTTGCAGAAGATTTATGAACAGTATCTTTTGATGAATGATACTGTTGATCATAATATTGATTATGGAATCGTTTCTTTGATGATAACTTATTATTATTAGTAATATTAGTAATAGTAGCTGGTGGGTTGCAACTAGTATTTGATTGATAGGATAAAGTTGATTGTCTTTTATTATCGAGTTTTTCTTTATCCGAATCTGATGTATATGGTAATCGACCAGAAATTACCATAGCAGGTATTTCATCTAATAATTGACTGTTTAATTGATTGCGACGATTTTTGAAATAAGCACGACGTAAATTATCAAAACATATTTGTGAACAACAAACCGGTACAGGTTTTATTTTATATTTAGTATTATCTAAATTAAGAGATTGATAAAATGAATTATATTTATAAGTTTGAAGATTTGGTTTCTGACACCAAGCACATAAATCTGTAACACATGAAGACGATGGTGAGAATGATGAATTGACAAGAGAGTTGTGAGATAAAGAAGTGGTTGGTGAACTACACCCATTGATAGGATTTTCATTGTTTTCAGTAAGATTATTTTTGTCATCAGTAGTTGAATTCATTGTCCTTTTTGTAAAAGATTGTCAACCACTGATGATGTAGCGTGATGAATGTTTCAAATATAAACAGTAATGTTTACAACAATTATGCTTTAGTGTAAGATTTGGAGAACTTTCTGATCTTCGTATAACTGATAAAATATTCAACACTTTATTCTGAGTTAATACAACCTACTTTTATAGTGTATGTAGTAGGAATTAGTTAGGATATCAGATTTCTTATAGGTATATGGTTAACCCTTAATTTCATTGGATAAAACATTACATACGTTATTTTAACTTACATACTCATTATGTTTCTCAAATTTCAATATATATATATATATATATATATATATATATATATATGATAAAAGATGTAAATATGAATGGATATAATTGCACAACGATAATAACCTAGAACGTATCAAATTTCATGAAAAATAACCTTCTCTCTCATTGTCAATTATTTGCTTAATAGTTCAGTGAGTTTAAGGAATTGTAATTCTTATGTCACTGCTGCCGCTCTATTTAACTCTTTTTTTAATTAACAACTGGGAATTTCTATACTGATATTCATCAGTGGAAAAGACAATAAGCGAATGATTTATTCAGTATAATGATCTAACGTGTTAGTAGCCTACATTTAGTCATGTACACCATTTACTACTGATCTGCACACAACAATTAGGCAATAATATCACCAATGAAGCTAACTAAGTGGGAGATTTTTCGGTTATTCATATAATTTGACTGGCTTTTAACCTGATGAGTCAACTTTACCATAATCATCGCTAGAACTGGCCATGTTGAACACATGGATTGTGGATCTCAGTGATATATAAGACTTGTTACGTTTTGTTTTGGAATTATCATTTGGATGTACCTGGATCTAAGTATTACAGTTCATACTAAGACTCGAATTTAATATTACACACTTCAAACGTTCAACACGTTTTCGCCCTATCTACTAGGTCCATGAAGCTACCAATGTGTTCAATGAATACTTTCGTAATATCCTGATGAGTATGAAATTGAATTATCCTATAATGAGTATGAAGAGGCAATCTGCATGCATATATGACAATAAAGATTGATTAAAATACAGTCGTGAGCAGCGACCATGAGATAGTTCAAAACTAATTTGTCAATGATTTAACGGTCATGTATTCGATACAGTATAGAGTCTCAAGTATAAATCCTTAAATAGTTCTTAATCACGATGAAACAATACTTTAACTAATGTAGTTTCATGAAAAATCACCCTGAATTTGTACAAAACTATCATAAAAAATGTATCTGAGTTACTTTTCTTTTTTTCCTTGTTTATTTCGTAAATATTGAATAATTTGAAGACAAATTTCAGAAGTGGATAAAATATCCAAGCAAACACTGGAGAGTCGATAAACAATTATCCTCACTATATGAGCGAACAAATAACAATTAACTTCACTCTAAATCTTACAAATTCAATATCTTTTTAAAAAAATCTAGAATTAAAATTTATTCAAACAAAAAAATTCTTAAGCAAAGATGGATAATGGCTAGCAGTGGAATCCAGGATGAACGTTTCGTCCTAGTTGGGACTCGTCAGTTGGATGTGCCTGCATCTCAGAGTTGATATACACTCCGGGACTCGAACTCAATAACAATTAAATATATTCAGTGATTATAAATTAACAAATTTGTATAGAAGAATTTACCTTTGAAAAATTGAAAGCTTCATAATCAAACTAATTAAGTTCTAGAAATTGAAACATAAACTTACAAATATTTACAAGTAATTTGATATTTAGAATATTTTTGTTTTGTTTTATCAACAAATTGCTATATGCATTGTATACACAGTATGCTTATACTGATTGTGTTTTACTGATTGGGTATCTAATAAATAATGTGATCGTTTCTACACTATTAAACTACATATATGTTTAATGTTCTATTGTTGTATCTCACAAAGCTTGTCTTTTGAATTAATAACTTGTTTAAATACTACCAATATATGACGAAGAACATAACAATTCAAAGAGCTTTTCGTCGTTCTACTTAAAAAAAGGGGCAAACAGATCAATGAAAACACCCTCGAAGAAAAAAATATTTAAATAAACCAATTTACACGTTATCCCAAATTTAAACAAATCTAGAGAGAACGCCTATTTACAGTCTGATGCCCGTATAATAAAGTCTAGATATTCATGAAGAAAAATCGAACTCTGCGAAATTCCTTAGAGCGAGCGAGAAAGTTGATATTTCAGGAGATTGAAAAAATCACTAAATCAAAAATAAAACAAAAAATACCTACATGGTATACAAGAAGTAGCTATTTATATGATAACACTGTATAAAGGACAAACTGAAAGAAACGTCAATTTAGTGATTACACAGCACAGTTTAAAAAGAAACATTCAGTCTGGAAACGATATAACTAAGTTTCAACTGGTTTAGTAATGATAATTGTCGTGACTTTATGTCCGGCTTTTTATCACGTGATTTATCCACCAATCAAAATACGACTTATGCAATTTTCGACTGTGCCAAACCAATGACGTTCGACCGGTATAAGCAGCCTAGCGTCCTTATTGGTTCTATGTCCGCCTAACCCGTCCACTTGAGTCCAGAACAACAATACCAGCTTCCAATATGCGAATAATATATTTCAAACATACTGGGTTTATATACCAAACAAACAGACCGCAACGCACCATAAAATAGGAAATAATATTTGTACACAATAAAGCCAAAAAGTGGCTGTGAACGTGGGAGGCAGTAGTTAATATACTGAACATAATTTAGGGACAGCAAAACTTATCATTATAAATTATAGGTCAAAATGAAGCTTATAATAAGAGGGATATAAATATACATAATCTAATTATTGAATAGTTATACCATAAGAATTTATATATAATATTAGTAAATTAATGTCTCAGAAGTAACTCGTGATTTAATCTGCGCTAGGATATAACAATATTGTAAGCTAAAAACGAATTACCTACACATGATATTTCCCTTCAGATTTATTAGCTCAATTCAATCTGTACAACAATATCCATTAATCAATTTCCTAGAAAATCGCTTTTACATTTTTAAAAACACTCTCTAGGATGACTAAACGAATACTAAGTTAAAGATCTTCACAGATTTTACAACTATTCTAAATAAAAACGAAGTCACATGTCACACTTCTGGTCGAGTAATTTCCTATCCTGTTGCCGTCTTTATAAGGGTTCCAGAATCTACCAAAAGCCCAAGGTCGTCTGAAATGCAATAAATACTCTAGATTTGATGTGCATAGACTAACCCTTTGTAGCTTTGTCGTTTGGTCCTCTATGATGTGTTGGTATTTGCGGATCCTGTAGTGTGCATCCGTTATCATTAGGTGTACCTTTTTTTCCACTTTGCTCAGCTATTCTCCATCCTAATGGGCAGTTGATTGGAGGTCTATATCTTACACTTGTTGGTACGCTTGGAGTAAAGCGTTATTTCCAAATTTCGCGTCCTCTATCTCGTGTTCAAGTTGTCGTGTAGAGTTAGTTCGGGGTTATTAGAATGGCTTGTGAAATCGATTCAAAAGTTTACTCATAAGATTTATCACTTTAAAACATATTTTCAAAATTATGTTCTGTTAACGGACGGAAAACCGACTTTTCAGATTTATTTATTTAAGCATACAACTGTTATTTGTTTGATACAAAAGATTAATTGGGATTTGATTCTCATATTGAATGCTTTGAGAAAATTATTACAAAATACCTATGAGTTACGCACTTTAAAAAACTAGTATGCTTTTATGACTAAAAAACCACATTTTGCCAGTTTTGACAGTATTACAATGACATAAAATGTAAGTTGTAAGATGGTATCACTTATCCACTAGATAATAACATCCACTGTGATGAGATAGGATGACAGATAATAATATATTTCACAGAAGTTCTGAAAATATAACTAGAGAACACTCTGGTATGAATAACAATGTTATAAAGTATACTGTGGATTCGAACCTAAACTTTAAGGAAAAAATAACATGACTAGCGTAGGAAACTAAGAACTTGGCGAAATGTTGAATAAAGATGCATTTATGATAGGAAGAATATGTATCAGATCGTAACACAACAATCAAGACATCACGATTTAAAAACAGGAATAAGAATATAATCAGAATTGTTTATATGATTAAATTCTCATATTGTTTCATTTTGTTAACAAGAAATAAACCAGTTTTCAAGGACTATTCATTGTAAGTAATAAAAACAGTGTATTTAACAAGCCGTCAGTTGATTACGGTTAGTAAGGAACGATTACATTTGAATTCCAAATATATAATGCGTTGGTAATTAATTTTGTCAAAGTAAAGTTGATTCCTTTTAAAGAGTTAGTGTCATAGAAATTACATTTCATAATAAGTGATTTGAAAATTACGTTTAGTTGTCATCAAATCCACTGTGTAACACAATGTAGAATTGTAATTGTTTTATTTTATACTGAAATACTTTAAAGTTCTCTGAATCTACTTATTTAAATCTGACAAGAAGTCAATTGTTAGGTATTTCTATTATTACTATTATTTTCATACAACCATATTATTGAAATCATTTGTAAACACATAGAACAATCACTAGATCATAAGACAGTGCATATGAAGTTCACATACTTTAAAATATGTAAAAAAAAATATGGTGTTTTGGGTTGAAAAACAATGTGTTGATAGATTACACCTTAATGGTGATAAGAAAATTCCTAGTAGATTAATATACAGATCTGAAAAGTAATCCATATTCAAAAGCGAACTAAATAAAAATAAAGAAATATTGAGTATCACCAAAACATAAAAAGCAAACGATATTTGAAGAAGAAATGAATTACAACATGACTAAGAGACAGTATTTCATCTTTTCCAAATAGAAATGTGATGGGTATTCATCTATTTATTATTTGTCATGTACAGATTTAAGTAATTGGTTACAAAGCATGCTTAAATTCTGAAAGCTTTTGATACTTCCCGGTTTCCTGAACCGCATTAGATGGAGAGGTGATTAGACCTAAGACTTAGTGGCTGAAATTCGAATAGTCTGACCACAAAGCTCCAGCTCCACAGCCAATGCGATGTAACGTTGAGCAAATGATTTTTAAGTTTAAAAAATACGGACAAAAAATTGTACACATTTAGTTTCAGACTACGGAGTATAGATTAATTAGTTTTTTCAAATGTTTTGCAAGTATTCTAGTGACTGATTTTGAGTACTTCAGTTAAGATAGTTGTTTTGTTTATTGAAACTAAACGTATCAACGAGCTTAAAAGTGATACTCGAATGCACTAAATTAACTGGATTTCAGTAAAAAGGGAAATATTTATAATAACATTCATTTATATTAAGTAACATAAATCTAAACATATACAAGTGCATACAAAGATTTATTTTAGAAATACAATGAAAAAGAATTCACTTGAAGATGAAAAAACATTTACAAACTAAGACGTGAAAGTTCTATGAACCGATTAGCAGCTTTATCAAAACCGAAACTGGATGAATCTGTTAATGGGATAGTTGAACCTAAAGACGGTGGTGCATTCCGTAAATGACTTGAACTCGAAGCCGGTGTTTGAGGAGATGCTGAACTTAAACGTAAATGTGTACTGGAAGATCGACTGCTTGGACTTCGAGGTAAAAACGTATTTGTGGTAGGATGTCCGACAGATGTACGGCGCAAAGATATACCAAAAGAGTGACAAGCTTCCTAATTATGTAAAATACAGAGAAAAAATTACTAAGTATTTTAAAATTAGAAAAACGTAAATCAGAAAAACAATTAAATTACAAAACGTGCAAGATTAAGGGATTTTTAATCACAAACCATAGGTTTTATGAATGATTCATACAGAATTATTCACTTAGAAATAACAAGTGAATGTTTTCAAATTATCTTTCTTTGAAAAAATTTACAAAAAAGGAAGAACTGGGTACGAAGCAGTAATCGTAAGTTCATATACGAATTTGAAGGGGAAACATTTAATATGAAAGCTAATGAAATCTATTTTGATAGATTATCTATCCCCCCCAACCGCCACCTTAGTCGACGTAAAATACTGAAACAAAAGATAGAAGGGCTTACATCAAAATAGCATCATCCCAGTGAATTCACTGATTGTTGAGCTAATTTCGGTGGAATTAGGTTCTCTGAGTACGGTGATATAATCATGAAGCTCAGTGAACAAGAATCCAACAAAATCATTGATATTGGGTACTATTCTTTTCCACTATTATAGGGTTGTGCCATATAGACAAGTACAGACAATATCATATATACCAAATCATTTCTATATCTACTGATACGTCTATTACCTTTACTACTCTGGTGTTGGTCTTTTAATTTCTATACAGCTGTGCTGATGTTGTATGATAGGTTAACCAGATTCACATCTCTCGCAGGCTCTACATACCTTATAAACTGACTGAGTATTTCGAAAATCCCGTAAGAACCAAGTAATGCATTTTGGAAATAATTAATTGGAAATAGTTAAGACATCACTACGTTGCAGATTTACTTATTCATATGAATATTAGAAATAACAATCAAGTAATGTCGAAAATTAATTGAAATTGGACAGGTATACTACTGGATTCTGGATATTGTTATATCCTAGTAGAGATTGAATTACAGGTAACTTCCGAGGACTATTGACAGACTAATATTCTATAAATATTCTTATTGTATAATTATTCAATAATTAGATTATGTATATTTATATCCCTCTTATTATAAGCTTCATTTTGACCTATAATTTATAATGATAAGTTTTGCTGTCCCTAAATTATGTTCAGTATATTAACTACTGCCTCCCACGTTCACAGCCACTTTTTGGCTTTATTGTGTACAAATATTATTTCCTATTTTATGGTGCGTTGCGGTCTGTTTGTTTGGTATATAAACCCAGTATGTTTGAAATATATTATTCGCATATTGGAAGCTGGTATTGTTGTTCTGGACTCAAGTGGACGGGTTAGGCGGACATAGGGCCAATAAGGACGCTAGGCTGCTTATACCGGTCGAACGTCATTGGTTTGGCACAGTCGAAAATTGCATAAGTCGTATTTTGATTGGTGGATAAATCACGTGATAAAAAGCCGGACATAAAACCATAACAGATATGATCAAGAGACTAAGAGCCAGCCATGGGACCAGATTACTTGGATTTGATCCTCACTCGATTCATGGGTGACCACTGTTGTGGAGTCCCATACTAGGACGAAACAGATGTCCGATACCCACAGGTTTTCAACGGTTACCTGAAAAATATCAGTTCATGTTGTAAACTATGAGAAATTGCAATATGATGAGTGAAAATAAAACAAAAACTAACCAATTCAGCAGTTAATTCACGTAAAAGTAATTGTTTATCCATAGGTCTAACAGATGGACTCGTCAAAAGTATAGTAGACTGAGAGAAAATTATCGATAGAACCATTTCATAAGCACGTTGAACCAAAGAACTAGATGAAAGAGACGAATAGAGAAATGGAATATTTCTTTGAAAATTTTCGTCATGGATCCACATTACTACAAATATATATGATGCTAATCTATCATTAATACTATGATTTTACTAGTGATTAGAAAATTAACGTAAAATGATTAACCAAGAACTTGAAAGGAAAATCATGAGATCATCATTTGTAAATATTGAAAACATACAATTCAACGATTACCAGATTACATACTATTCAGTAAGAGAATTAAGAAAATACAATAATGTAGAGTCAAGCTTCATGTTTAAATAGGAAAACAGAGAGTTCAATACTGGTCAAATAGAACTAAATGACAACTAACGTAAAATTAAGGACCGTAAGAAGTCCATTACGGCAAGTACTTAGTTTGTGGAAAAATATTGTAAATATTTGAAACATGTTATATAGGTAGTTTAGTCTTCTTACATGTAGGTGTTTATAAAAAAATTCCTACGATATAGGAACTAATCACAACCGATTAAAAAGCGTTGCACAACATGGTTGAAAATCAGCCACAATGCCCTAAATCCCTTCCACTTTATCATCCCCAAATATTTTGAGCTTTATGTATTATTTCATACTTTTATCTCTTCTTTGCAAATAGTCTTCTTCAGTGTTTTTATCTTTTGCATTATCAATCACTTTAATTGAAACAAGCCAAGTGATATGCTATAAGAACATCAACAACAAACAATATATATTATCGGAGTTAAAATAACAAACCAAATGATCAAAGTAAAATAAACAAATAGCATCAATTCCCCCAATTTTACAGGTACGCCCTGTTGAATAGTGCCAACTAGTATGAAGCATAAGTAAATGGTGTCTTGTCAACCACCTGCAGGTATCTCACACGTATATTAACTTCATAAAAAAGTTTTAAGTATACAACTGATGACTTTATATTTTAGCAAAGTAAAAACGTGTTTAGAGCATTTCAGTTATCAAGTACAAGTTCAAATGTATCAGCATGTGATAATGATTTGTTATACAAGCACAAGTCCGTGGGTATGGAGATTCAAGATACGATTTAAATTACTAAAATGTGAGTACCGTTATTCATAGGTGACGTAGCAAGAATTTGATGTTGAAGAAGTGAGTGTTATTGAAAGGAACGCGTAAGATCAAACGATCCGCGATCTAATTCAAATTAAAACACTAATAACGATATGATGCTCCTACGAAAAAATTTACTAATTCCAAAAACGTTTAAATATAAAAACAAATAAAATATTTCTATAGCAAAGGAAAAGTGTTAAAATTTGATGCAAAATAATTTTTAGTATGGGGTTGTGAAGATTGATGAATTTGATTGAAATCATAAAATTATCTAGGTCAGACCACCATTGTAATCTCGGAATCATTGGGGGGGGTACTATTTTGTCCCAGAATGGGACACTACAGCAGTGCGCATCCACGGTCGCGGTGGTTAACTGATCGAAGTTAGACAAAAACATCATTGGATATCGACTCAGTGGTCTAGAGATTAGATGTTTGTGTGCGAACCCTAAAGTTCTGTGTTTGATTCCAGTGTGGGAAGTGCGCACTGCTGTGAAGTTCCATACTACGACGAAACGGCCGCCCAGGGAATCCAGGTTTTCAGTGGTGGTCTAACTTAGATCGGTTCATAATTTCGATTTAAAATGATCCGTTTCCTAGTGACAGAAAGAATAAATACAAACGAGATGTATGAAAGAAAGAACCAGTTGAATCACGGTAAATAAAACAAACAAACAGTAAACCAATACTAACCAGAGTTCTCGTTTTCTTTGTGCAATTACTGATTCACTAGTTTGACAGGACTTCCATACACTACCTAACTGAAAATGATATAAGAAAAATCAGAATAACAGTGATAATAATACTGATAATAGCATAAACAGTTTAGAAATGGGTGAAATAATAGATGATAGACTTGATAAACTGTAAAAGGGTATGACAGTAGTATGGTGTTTTCTGTAAACAATCAACATCTGCAACGAATTTGTTTTGATACAACAGAAGAAATGGACTAGAAAATGTCAACCTTAATATTAGCGTGTCCCATCCTGTTTCGCATGTTTATATCATGGGCAGTAGGGTCATATAAGTACGGAGGTATGGTATCTCAGTGATAAAGCCATAATGTAAAATTATCATAAATCTAGTCGACAAACACCAAGTTAAAATTACTATCATTGTTTCAGCTTAGTGCACCATTTTTATAGAAAGATGTGTTTGCTTGTGTAAAGTTACACATGGATTGTTCAAGTAGAAATTAGAGACATGAAATGATGTTTTAATGAGGCTATATTATTTCACGTTGGTAGGTGCAGGAGACGATCATGATTATTGGTTGAAGACATTGAATTAAATAGCTAAGAATAGATCACAATGGGCGCAGAGATATTTTACTCCTTAATATCATCTATATATTATTAATGAAGAATAATAAAAACTTATTCACAATCTAAAATTTTACAACTAATCTACGAAATCTCTATTTTTCGATAATGTCTAATTATTAGCCTTTTTCATAGAATGAGAAGAATCAGAATTAACGTATGTTTTAAAAATCATGAACATTTGTACATTATATATTTTCATTATTGATAAATCTTCTGACTGAGCGCTTAAATCAGTTTCCTAGGCTCTTCTAATAACCCCAAAATAACTCTACACGACAACTTGAACACGAGAGAAAAGGTACGAAATATGGAGAAAACGCTTTACTCCAAGGTTAGTTAAAGCACAGAAAACTGATAGTTCTGGAACCCTACTAAACAAAATAGCACGATAGGTAATCATCCAATCAGAAACATGACACGTGACTCTTTACTTTTTAAATGTTTCTGAGAAACATCTATTGAACACTGATTGGATAAAGTGTTTCTCGGCGTTTTCAGGGTCAATTTGAGCTTTTTTCGACGAATTTTCTGGGTCTCTCCAACAGTTAAGTGTATTTCTATATCAAAAGTATTCACTACTAATAAATATGAAATATATTGAAATAATGAGAATAACAGGAACATAATAAGCATGAATAAAACTTAAACTCACTTTTGAAGATAAACTGCCTAATGAATTAGCTAAGTTAATTAGAACACCAAATGTTAATACAGTTGAATTGTCATTTAAATTCGGACTATTAAATGTAAGATGAACATGAACTTTCAAGTATTTCAATTCATCAGACTGAAAGAAGAAAAACAAAATGAGATAATGTGAAAAAGAACTATGTAATCAAATATGTGCAAAACATATTAAGAATAGTTTTAGAAACAACGAGTCCAAAATGTTTATTTTTATCGCATTTGTCGATTTATTTCGTTAAATGTATTAATTTTCTTATATAGGACCTCATATTTATACGGGTTAGTGCTTTTTTTAGTATGGTTCTTTTCCACAGGATGGGGTTGATGACTACATGCCGAACCCTTCTCCTTTAGTTGGGCTTGGAACCAGCAGTGATCCTAGAAGAACTACAGGAGGGAATCATCGGGGTGCAATATGAGGAAGCCCTAACTTGGAGTCCTGAAGGCGGAAAAAGAGACAGACCAAACAATAAATTGCACCGAGAATTGAAGGCAGGCATTAAAAGAATGAATGACAACTAGAAAGAACTGCCTAGGACAGAGTTCGATGGAGGATTCTGGTGCGCGGCTTATAATCCTCCACGAAGGGTGACACGCGCAAGTAAATAACATAAACATGTTGTATTAATACTGCCTATTTTTTTAAAACAACGAAAACATTCTTATAAAAAGCTAGCTTTTTTTCTTATAGCTCTCAACTATTAACGATGATTGAAATCTTATTGTCGGCATATTGTTTTATTGCACTAAATTCGAACAAATTTCGGAATTAACACTTACGATCTTTGTCTTAATTAAGTGTAAATTATAACATGATTATAATAAGATGCTTATGAAAAATCCATAAACTAATAACATTTATACATAAATATACATAATATTTCGGATATCATACAGAAAAATGATTTATTTAACTCACTGTCATTAAAGATGCTTTGCCGAGGATAGGCAATTGAACCATTAATACACTAAGTGACATAATAAGATGTCGTATGAGATAAAGGAATTTTAATTCACTAGTCTCTGAACCAGATGATTCCATTGATACTGAGCTAACAGAATGTGAACTTGTCACAACTTCATTTGATTTACTCATCATTAATGTTGTTTTAGGCAGTGTAGATGTAAGTATACCTGATGGACTTGATGATGATTGACCGGTAATTCCAGACTTAGTTGGTGTTATATGTGATCCTGAGAATGAAACACTTTTAAATGATTTAAAACCGTGACGTTGAAACAATATTGAACAACAATGTATTTGGCATTGAATAAGATTGAATACTGTGTTAAAGAATTCCGAATGTACAGTAGGACCATAAGATGGCTTGAAAAAAAAATGTTAATAGTTAGGGCATATTTCAAAACAATAATATGAACCTACCCATGGTATATGGGAATTGAGATTTGCAATTCGTGAATGGTTTGAATATAGGATATTTGATGCTATTATAGGTAGACCTGATGTACTGATATATTCAGCAGCAACTAGAATACGCCAATATAACTTTAAAATAGTTTCAGCTAATTGAATTCGATCTGTGGACAATATACCTTGTTGAATTAATACACTAGTAATCGGTAATGGAGACATAAGATGTTGATCATTAATGGATGTATTATTATTATTATACAATGATGAACACCAATAATTCACAAAGAATTCCAATTGACTAGCATTATCCATACAAAAATTTTGTATTAGCGAATAGACTAATGGATGCTTCATACCTCCAAGATTATCATGAAGTAAGCATAGAAATCGCATCTCCAAGATAAGTACAGCATTCCAATCGTAATTTACAGATTGTGTTTGTTTCATGTAACAATGATCATCAAATGAATTAGCTTGCATCTGTACAAAAATAATAATTAATGATAAATAAATATACGACGTAAAACATGTACGTGTACGCACCTCTAAAAGAAATTAAGATAGCTGAGTGCTTAGTGGTTACATTACTTTCTTTACAGTCAGTAATGCCATAGGTTTGAGCCCGGATCATCCTAATTTAGGTTAGCCATCCAGATAGTATAAGACGCTCCCATACACACTATATGAACTTGAAATAGTACAACAAACTTGTACTTGGTAAATGAATCATATGTATTTCAGATATTAACAAAAGTTACTCAACTAAACCGAGTAAGTTGGGTAGAACTCAAAAGTCTAAAATTAAAGATCCATGATTTGAATGAGACAACTACAAAAGGAATATTGATGATGTTGTTATCAACCTAAGTATATAAACTTACATTTGAATACGATTCACCATCTTGCAACCATTGACGTAAAGTATCTAACTGAGGCCAACAGAATGCTTGTGACATATATTCATGATAGGATAAAACTAATTGAGTAATTATATTCTTCGGTTTATTTATTAAATTATTCTCTGATTCATCAGTACATTGATTAATTGATTCGTCTAAATCTGTTCTTATAGAATGAGGTAATTTATTCACATTGGAAGTGCTGGTTAGTGTTGCTATATTACACAAAGGTTGAGATGAATTGATCACTAATTTCACAAGTAAGCTAATTAAACTATGACTGAGAGTTGCACCATCTTTAAGCTAAAAAGAATATACAGGAATTCAATAAATATAATTACATTTTTTTTGAAAAAAATTTAAAATAAGCCAGCTAATTATGACATTTGTAAGATAAGTAATACAATCTAAACAGATTCATTCACAAGGCTATAACAATACACATGAATTGATTACCTCATATGATGTTCGTCAGGGCCCTCCATTCTTGTTTAACTTTGTCGTTGACGTGCTTTTAGAGATGACACTTTCCTCATCTAAACTTCCAGAAGTTGAACTTCTATCAAGAGATTTACTTATTGACTTAGAATATGCCGATGACATAGTTCTATTTGGTGAAGACGCTGACAAAATGTAAAGTCTTCTCACCACTATAAGAAACAATGCAAACATCTTCGGGATGCGATTCTCACCCCGCCCCTCGAAATGCAAAATGTTGCTTCAGCATTGGGTTGCATCGATACCCGAACTAATGATAGGGAGTCAAGTAATTGAGCGTGTGTGGGAAGTCTCATCAGCACTTGTGGTTTAGTGTGTGACAAAATCTCAGCACGGATACAGAAGGCTCGACTAGCTTTTACCAACTTGCGTCATTTATGGCGTAGGCGAGATATCCATCTACCAACCAAAGGACGGGTTAACTGCGCAGCATTTCGTTCCGTCCTACTTTATGGCAGTGAAACATGGCCGGTAAGAGTAGAGGATATTCGTAGACTACTAGTATTTGATCATAGGTGTCTTCGAAATATTGCTTGTATATGCTGGGACCATCGAGTAAGTAATGCAGTTGTTAGGAAACGAGTACTAGGTAAGGATGGCAAATCAATTGATGAAGTGGTGAAACTTCATCAGTTGAGATGGCTGGGACACGTGTTACGTATGCCCAACGACCGACTGTCTCGACGTGCGATTTTCAGTGGTATAGGAGTAGATTGGAAGAAAGCTAGGGGCGGCCAGACCAAAACATGGCACAAATCCATGAAGTCATTGACAAGTGGACTGAGTCATGTCGGTAGGTGTATACTACCTGGTTGGGGACAGCGAGATGATAGTAACCGATGGTTAGAGACCTTGAATGACATGGCTCAAAATCGTTTGCAATGGCGCAGGTGCATCCACTCCTTGTGTTCTCTCAAATTTTGATCTCCTTATTCCCCCCTTGTCTCTTTTTTTCTCTTCCCAAGTTTATTTCACTGTATTATACTCTTTAAGTAACATCTCCAAACACTAATCTTCCCGAATAATGCTTATACTCTTATTACCTCTACCACTACGGGATTTGAATTAACCACTGTATCTCTGTGCGTATGTGGTGTGGCAACTGGAACTGATGTACGTACGTACGAAGTTCTACGTTGTTACTGAAAGACTGACACAAATGATACTATCCAGAAGACTTTGAAATGGAATCAGAGTGCAGCTTAGAAGCGGTAAGTACGATAAATATATTGAATTTTTTAAATATTTTTTGATGAGTAGTTCATATCGGTTAATTGTTTTTTTTCTGGATATAATAATTGTGCTAAAACGCACTATCTAAGCAGGTTTACAAGTTTTTCTACTATATAAAACGGATTGATGGTTACGAATACATTGAAGTGGTGCATCAGTGGTAAACGTGTTCAAGTTTCAGGTCCGAACACCTCTAAATGTAGTTCAATTTAGGCAATCAGGTAAAAATTTATTAGTTCATCACACTTGGAGTTGGACTCGTAACCAAGAACACAAAAATATGTGTAGTAAACGAAATAATAGAAAATTACATTGATTAACAGTTAACAGATTATATTGTATCTTATTCTAGATAACGGGTTTTATATGAGAGTATCATGGTGTCCACCAACAGGTTGGTTATGTAAACGTTATTACAACTTAAATCAACTTGAGGTAAACGTTCTTAATCTGTGTTACGAGACCATTCTTTTTTATCAAACGAACCACCACCACCTCTTATTTGAATTGTTAAACATGTTGAAATACATAAAACCAAAAATGGTTTAGCTAATATCAAACAGCATATGGTTGAAGAGGAGAATTCTTAAAATCACTTTTCTTAATTTTTAAAAAAAGACATTTTCCACATCTTATTGGGATTTATGAGCTGCGGAGGAGTCACATATCGATACGAAACGGCCATTCAGTGCTCCCAGGATCTTATTCATTATCTAGTTATGATCATTTCGTGATTTTAACAGTGAAAACCTAATTTTGTATGAAATCAGAGTAACTATTTTGAAAATGATCCTTCATATTTGACCTATCCTCTTACTAATATGACCACAAATATTTTAAGTAATTGCATGATATCAAATGATTTCCTATAAAAGTAAAAACAAATGTTAAGTTAAACCAGCGTATTAAAAGTGGAGTGTATGAATTCTATTCCAAATGAATTCTAGTTGTCTTTCAATTGATTAATTATTCTGCGAGATATTAAAAATTAAAAATATTTTAAAAAGATCGAAATAGTTTATAGAAACCTCGTTGGAAATTTGTTTTCTTTTTTGTTACTAACCATTAGATTATTGTAAAGTAATAAACTCAAAGGCTTAGGATTTTCCCCATTTATAGTTACTAGCTTAACCATTATCATCATCCGCTTTCAAATACCGGCAGAATAATTAATGTTGAAAATTCTGAATCAGTTTATCCATATGATAAAAAGAAAATTCAAGTCATTCATTTCGTTTAAACTTATGTATCTTTAGTAAATTTAACTTACTTTGGTACATTCAGTTAATAAAATGAAAATATTATTCAAAACACCAGTATCAGTGAGACGTGTAAATAATGTTGTAGATTGATTATGATCCCATAAGAAGATGATTAAATTGACCGACTGTAAAATAGCCTGTAAAGTTAACGGAACACATAAGTTTGAATATTTTACACTCAAAGACGATAAGCACATTACAAGGACAAGATGTAAAACTATTCAATAAACTAAAACTATAAATAATAAAAGTGTAATCGGTAAAGCATTCTTAATCCTAATTTTACACATATTCCTTACACACTAGTTAAAAGTGCCCAAAAAATTATGATACCTCAAAAATGTTACTTCATCATTTAACGATACTTGTCGCCTAGACATATTAGGAGCTTGTACAGAACAAGGTAAATGTAAGTGAAAATAAAAACAAAACAAAAATAACCATATAAATATATAATATTTAACAGTGATAAGTTACAGGATTTTACTTTACAGTTCGTCTATTTTGACCTTGAATGTCATTCAACTTTTTGAACATCCACAAAGTGAATGGTGCTTGAAGTTTAGAAAACATTAAACGGAAGCTGGTTACTGAGTTCCATCAGTTGTAATATCACTGGAGAGTTGTAAACTAAAGAGATTATTGTAACATATTTGGTAAAAGTAAGACTTTTCATTAGACAAACATTATCATTGTAGGACCTGAAGCAAATATGAATCAATATACGTTATATGATCGATTTGGAGCTATATAAATTAATGTTTCTAATTATTGATTATAGATATTGCATGAAATTCAAACAGGTAGCGTGCATCTACTAAGATGGCTTAGACCAATATTCATTGATTACATGAATTAGTGTTACGTTTTGATTTGATCTACCCCAGCTCTTTCAACTTACCGTTGTGTTAGCTAATATTATGCATCGAGGTAGGTGGCTAGGACACGCATTATGCGTGTCCAACTATCTCAACTGATGAAAATCTATAGCTCCATTAAATAAATTGTCCTTTTTTTCATCTAACCCGCGTCTTATCACAGCATTACTTACTAGATGGCTTCACTAAGAGAGAGAGATGCTTCGAAGACACCTATAAGACAAAACCTGCAGCTCAAATATAATTCCTAATCTAATAGGTCGTTTTTAATATAATAAAGAGAAAAGGAACGTATGCTTAGATTGTACTGGGACTGTGATTGGCTTTTATTCCAATAGCAGTTATATTCTTTTGTTCGGTTATTGCTTGATCGCTTATATTTTCTGTAAGATCAGGGAACTTCTATCTAAGAAATGACACAGAGACCAATGAACAATAACCAAGATCTCAACATTCATTAGTCTTCGAGCTACTTTTAACCAAGTGTCTAACAAGAAAAAAAGACGGAAGGCAGATTAATTTTTCATTGTACCCTATTCCAATTATAAACAACAAAATTAAAAAGTTGCAAAGGGTGCATGATTCAGCCATAAGTGATATGAAAACGGAGTAGTAGCTAAATAATTAAATGACGATAAATCTGAAGCAATAAGACGTGTGACAGCAATTTATAGATCAAACGAAAGCTTAAAAATAGAATATAAAAATATACTTAAAGAGCCTACTGTTTATACAATGAAAATGTATACAATAAACCACCGTATAACAACCGCAAAAGTTACTTTCGCACCGCAACCCCCACTATATCAGTTTTGGAACCCCACGACAATACGGTGTGAACTGATGTGAGGACAGTCCCCTTTTATCTAAAAATCAGATATCTCGCCTATACGACAGGTGGAGTAAGTTGACAAACCCAATTGAGAATTTTGAACCCGGTGCGAGATTGCGTCAGCCAAAGCTGATAAGACTTTAAAGACAAATGAAGTGCTCAACACCATCAACTACTTCATTCCATATGAACTGTTTACACGTTAACACAGACTAATCCTGAAGCAATATTTAATATCCAAAGAGAGAATAACGCATCCCAAAGATGCGTGGGAACATTTCATATAAACATTATCTTGGAAAAATATAGTGAATACATCACTTGTTAAACTTACAGATTCTTCAATTTTCCTTATGTTAGGATTACGTGTGAGTAAGTTTAAAAAGCAAATCACATTATTGAATAAAGAAGATTGAAGTAATTCAAACTGATCATCTGTGGTTTTTTCATTTAATCTTTTCGAATCATACCAACTGAACAGTATGTAAGTACTAGCTAGTAGATCTGAATGCATATGCTGAACTTGGAAATCTATAGCCAGTTGGAAACTTGACAAGAGATCATTCAGTTTTGTTAAATAATTAGCCAAATCATTCGTTGATAATTCTTCGATTAGTGTGTTTTTCTTTGACGTATTATAAGTTCTGGGAAAATGTGAATAAAATATAGTTGCAGTTGTGGATATTATTATTAGGATAAATATTAGATAAACAGTATGAATAAAAATTATGGAGACACAACTGTTTTTAATCTTGGATTGCCACAATGTTCATTCGAAATCACGTTAACCTTACATTAAAAGTTAGCTATGATAAACATTAACTGCAAAAATCATTTAATTCTACCAAAATAATAGTAGAAATGAAGTACCCTATTATTGATTAAGCCTGTTTACTGGGAAATGTTTCATTAAATCAAAGTCCAATAGAAACGTCTCGAAGAGTTGGAGAGAAACGATAGATTACGTGTCCTATTTTGGCTGGATAATTACTTATCTTTCTACTAATTTTAACAGGATCATAGAACATTTCAGTAGATAAACGCAACACATAATTTTATTTTTATTTCCTGAACCTAAACTAATCTTGGAAGTAAAGCCTTTTTCCTACTTTCCACTTTTTATTTTCCCTCTAGGGATACAAGTTTAAGATTACTGAGGGAACCAGGTAGCAATTAGAAAGTGAGTAGCAAGTAATCATATAGAAGATATATCAGTAATCCATCAGGCCGTTCAAATATTTTATATTGTTTAAGCCTTATGATGCCTTTTGCAACCTTCGTTCAGATTAACTTTATAATCTGATAGCAGTACACCGGAAGAATCTCATGAGGATAAGAAATCAAGTATATTATACAGGGATAGACATAGTAATTGAGTAAACGTTGAAGAGAGAATTCGAATTTCGAAACGATAATAAGTTACAGATGATTACATTTTTAGTAACTTAAGAAAAAAGTTTGTCATCAACTGTTTTTACTACAACTATGACATTATATATTTTAACAATTATGAACTTACTTATATAAATACACTAAAGTTGTATTGAGTATTGTAGCTAATTGATTTCCTAAATCAAAAGTTGCCTGAATCGGCGGCAGATCACGCTAAAAAGTAAAAGCGAGAGAAAAAATCTTGAAGAAGAAAAAAAGTGAAATATGTGTGACGACAAATGTACACTCTTTATGACTTGGTTTGTAAGCAGCTGACGAGAAACCTCGAAATAATATGAATTCATACTATTCTGCACCAATATTTGTTCTTGCTTTATTTAAATGTACACCCGTTGAAATTTACTACACTAATAGTATAATGTCGATTTCTACAATGTAAAAAAGCATCAAATATTTGGTTATGCTACTATCTAATGAATATTTAAACAACCGAACTGAATTCACTTATTTGGATTTTTGAAAATTTATCTCATAGTGATCAAAAGAGTCTTTGAATGATTGTTCCTGACAGATGTTTCAATGGAAACCCATTAATATTTATATTGGACAGTGAATAGACGTGTTTTAATCAAATACACAGTTTCGTCTACAGATTAGTCAAATTAAGTCGTAGCGACCAGGAAAATCGATGTATCATCATCATCAACGACAACAACAAGTTCTCAGTGATGAACAGTAATATTTTAAAATATTACCATTTCCATTGTCATATTAATATGATGAATCCATATAGATTAATGATTCAACAATGGATTAAAACTTGAAAAAAAAACACAAGCTGACTAGAGCAATTGTTTTCAAGGTTTGTTTGTTTTTCACTTAATACTAATGTTATTAAATTTCTGAGTGAACAAGAAACGTGAAAAGAATAAAAGTATTAAATTACACAAATTATATAAGAAAGATAATCATGATGTACATAAATTAAATAAAATTATGGAATCGAATATTAAATAGAATGATTAAATTTTTTAATTAGAAATAAAGAAATTTCAGATAGATATGATAGTGTACGTTCGACAAGTAATAATGAATAAATAAATAATGAATAAAATTTCAAACAGCAATGAGTTAGATATAGACATATGAAGACCTGAGATAAAAAATTAAACAAGTACTGAGAACATGAAAATTGCTAAGCCACTAGTCAATAAGCTGAGTTACGAAACTGAATTGTTTGGACAGTATTAATGAAGTTAACTTAAAGTTTGTTATACTTCTCATTTAAGCTTACTACATGTAAAGCTGTAATTGATTGATTTATAGATAATTGAGTTCAAACTCCGTAACTCAATTAAGTTTGTAGAATAAAACGACATTATCATCTGTCACATTTGGATATTGAATGCTACTGATGAAAAATTCTTAGTAAATCTATAAACACCCAATCATTTAATGAGTCTTGAACCATAAAATCCATGTTCAGTCTAATAATTTGAGTGTTTGACCACTAGAACTAGTAAAATTTATGAAACTCACTAAAAGTTAACGAAAATCGCTAATTGGATAAAACAATTACGTGCTTTGACGAAGTTCCAAAGATGATTAACACTGTCTTAATATTAACTTCTACATACAAACTGTTGTCTATATGGATCTGGGTGCATAATTTGTAAGTCATATGATCGAAATCCATGATTAGCATAGAGGCAAAACATATGGTCGACAAAGTGTAGAAAATTGAGCATTCACAATTCTATCATGAAAACTAAATAAAAAAACGCTAATTTATGAGGAGCAGTAATGTAAACAGTTAACACATCAAACTCCAACTTTCTATTTTCTAACAATACTGATTGCCATGTAAAAGTTCATTTTCAATATAATAACAAACGATTTATAAAATTAAATGAAATCAAACTTATCTAAAAATCAAGCTGTCTATGGGTTGACAATTAAAACAACAGTGGTGTTTTTCTTTACCTCATTTTTTTAAAGATTATCATTATTATTGGAGGAGTGTAACGTGAAGTGTGAAAAATTATTCATTAATGAAGAGAAGGTGGATGTAAATGATAAACTTAAAGTTGTTTTAATGCTATTTCCGTTAATTAGCGGACAATTAAAATTATTCATATAGTAGACATATGCGGATAACCATGATTTTTCAATGATCAATAAAAATGCACGATCTAGCATGTTCATTAAGGATTTTTCTTCATTAACTTAGTATATCAGCAGGACATATGAACTGGCTACTGTAAGGAAATTCGAATTGTCGAATAGAATAGTATAAAAAATGAAATCCTCAGTGAAAATCATGCTTTCATTAAGTAAATGAATGGAAAAAAAATGATAGATATTGCATACATATTAAATATTGAGTGGTAGATGAGCTAAAAAAAATCCGTGAATACGTACTATATCCTTATGAAATTTAGAAAAAGACACTATTTTAAAGCTAAATAAATGCATAATACATACCAGTAGATTGAAACATTCAATTAAATCATTCAAAATCGATAAAGGTATTGTAATAAAATCATCTTTTGATTGCTTTCTTGAATTTATTAATTGGTTTCTATTGGAATTACTATCATTACTATCAAAATTATTATCATCGACATTGCCATCATTGTAATTTAACAATAATAAACATTTCCAACGACATGTTACATTGTGTAGAGATGTTAGCCGAGATTGAAGATATTCTATAGATACATCTTCCGATTCACTGGACGATAATATTTTATGTAAACATTTACGAGTTAACTTTGAGAGAGAAAGAGAGCGAAATACAAATCGTTCAATAAGAACAAGGGTTTCATAAAATAATTAACTTCAATCATGAATTAGTGAAAACTAAAAAACTGGTGGACAGTATTCGAGTAATTTATGTAGAATTCAGATATCTGAATAAGTAATAATAAGTTATGATTTGGACCAGTAAACGGTGAATACATTATATAAGCATACCCAAGGGGTAGTGATTTCGTTAATTACCGATATATCAGAATTTATACGTTTTGGCTGCGCGAAGCAGTAAATGAGTTTAAAAACCTCACTGTTTGCTAGCATAGTGAATCCTGTTGTGTGCAAGTTCTGAAGTCTTAAATTCTCAACACGTTCACTTGAAAAGACTATACTGTCAGAGTTTTTGGATAAAATATCTGTTATATTCTAGTGAAGATTAAATTATGGGTAACTTCTGAGAACTATTTGTGGACTAATATCATACATATATTCTAATTATATAACTGTTAAGAAACTAGATTATATATATATATTCCTCTTATTATAAGATTTTATTTGACCTTATTAGTTACTGTTATATGATTTACTATTCCTAAGCTATTCTCAGTCTATTAGTCACAGTTTCTCAGAATCACAGCCATGTTTTGGCTTGATCTTGTACAAATTTTATTTTCTATTTTATGTGATGTCTGATTTTTTTTGTATATAAAGTATGTTTGAAATAGATTATTCGATATAACGGAGACTGTCATTTGCGTTCTGAACTGAATCGCATGGGCTAGACGAGAAGCTGTTATCTCAAGGAGTAATAAGGACTCCATGCTTCTAATACTGGTCTATGCGTCACTGGTTCGGTCAATAAGTCAGTGACACTAATTGGCGATCGTATCGCGTGATATATTACCAGGACACAAGGGTCACAAATCATAACAATATTCTTGATACGTTAGAGATAAAAAAAACTCATATTTATCGAGAAATTTATACCGAAACTCAATAAAAACGATGATAAGAGACATAGACAGTTGTTGATTACTGGACAGTTCACATTAGAACTCTCCATAAGGGAGCTAAAGAAAATAATCTTCAGTAATGTGTTATGCTGTTAGGAGTTAAGTAACATGATCAATCGGTATATACAAAGGGCCTCAATCCAATATATAATACTTTGTCCAGAAGCAAAAATGTACTTTAGTAAATGAATAAAAATAGGAATCAATCTAACTCAAAGATTACATACTACTTTGCTATGTACATATACTGAAAGGAAGTCGACAACGTGACACAATAAGTAAAACTGCACAAAATAACTTTACCTTAAACCATAAATTGTACAAATTATTCTTCACAAAATAATCCATAACTGATGTAAACGATTTAAAACTATCATCGTTTGTTGTACAGCTGAAACACAAACCGAAAATATAGGAAAAAAAACAAATGACAAATGTTCATAACAGTACTACTTAAAAATTAATTTGAAAATGTATGCGTTGTACAATCTATTTAGACATTATGTAATTGTAACTCTATTCAAGTATTACATTAAAATCAATCACTATTGTTGGGTTCAATGAAATTCCAAATTGAATATTGTTTCTTCAAATTTACATCGATTAAAAAAGCCTGTAAGAATCTCTAGTTGGGAATTGTACAGTAGCATCCTAAGAGGAATTTCATTCAATATCTCAACTGCCTTGAATTATACATAATACAATGACAATAAATTATATTGTCAACAAAGAGACGTCTTTGTACAATCGGATTGCATGTGAGTGATTAGAATTTAATGTAAAAATCCCGATCCCTCTTATTTATTTTGCAGATGTGCACAGATTGAATTTATTTATATATTGCAAGAATAAAAAGTTTGAGTAACTTTGTCTGAAGGCATATTTAAGTAATTTAACAACATACTGTTGCTAAACTCGTGTGGGACTTTAATAATGAATATTGGTATATAGCGTTATGTTTATAGACTGTCAGATATAATAAATTTCTCACTAAATATAACAAAGAAACCTGTTTTAATTATATATACAGTAAAACACGTTTAAACAAAACATGAAAACTAAAGTATACACAACAGGTGAGGATCCTAATTCGGATATTTCCTTATTATTCCATTAGAAAGTCAACGGTCGTTGATATACCAGTGTACTGAACTGTAGATTAAAAACAGTGTGAACAGTCATAGGTATGAGAAACCGGTAAACTTGACATAGTTAATCCGAAATAAGGTCATTGAAACAACAGAAAATAACTTTATTCATTAGTGATAGCTAGAAATGGTTTAATCAATCTTTGTTGCCATATGTGAACCCGGAGTAGTTAGTTTTGATAAATTCTGTCTACGACGCGACTTTCGTCTCTACTGCGGCTTATTGAACCTGTGAGCACACATCTCAATGTTGATATTCACACTGACACTCTAACCAGTTATCTAGAGGTTCATACACTCATGCATTACCTACTGAAATGAGACGAAACGCGCTTCGTCAATTCCACTTCTAAAAACAATCCAAATATTACAAGTTATAATATTAACTTTAGAGATCAAAACAACTATGTAAGTTCCATATACATAGTTTCCTTTATTATCTTAAAGAGAGCGAGAACAAAGATTGGTGCAGAATGATATGTATTCACTTTATTTCGTTAGGTTCTCATGTATTTACGTATGCAACTAAAAAACTATATATACGAGACCTACACAAATACACCTACAGAGAATCTAGACTAAGTAAAATTTTATACACACTCAACTAACCTTGTCTTATTGTAGAGTTCTAACGCTAAAATACTGACAACATCTCCACAGAGTTCATTTTCAATATCTGATAATGGTTCCTATATAAATAGAACGTTCATGAAAACCACTAAGAATAAGTAAATATGTATAACAGTTCACACAGAATTCGCAGAGAATTCTTCAAATATATTCGGAAAAAAATTAAACTTTACAAACCACGTAACTGATATTCAACTGAGGGATTCAAAAGGTGAATACGGCAGCAGAATTATTTGTCATTAAACAGAAAAACTTGGATCTTGGTTTTTTAATGATTGACACTTGTCACCAAGACGTACCTAAAATCTTGAACAAACTTAGGCTTCCAGGTCACCTAGTCTTACAGATTGAGATGTCTCCACCGAGCTATTCAAGTCGCGACAGAGCTGCTTTAGGACTGAGATATTTACAACTAAGTAGTGACTAAAATCATGTTGGTGTGTGACTTTACATCTGATTGAATACTAATGATCAATATGCATTATGGTCACGGGTGTGACTCACTGTGTGTAGTTGTTTCCAGTCGCTATTTATTCATTCGATGTTCGCCCTCAATCCCCAAAGCAATGTGTTCTTACTTCTGCCTCCTTTTCATTTGCCGTCGAGATTACAAGTTAGAGCTTCCCTTGTGCAGTCAGATGACCTCTGTAATGTATATTATATAAATTTACAGCGTCTTTCCCTAATTTCTTCCTCAGCTGGAAGCTGATTTGTTCTCCCACATAGTATGCTGTTGTTGATGGTATCCGATCAAAGAAAATTCAATGTATTGTGTAGACAATTCTTCATGAATACTTTTACCTTTTTGATTATGGTTGTATTAGTTTTCCAAGTTTCAACTCTGTATAATAGAACTATCTTGACATTCGTACTGAAGATTCTGACTTTGATATTGGTTGACAGTTGTTTTGAGTTCCATATATTCTTCAACTGTAGGAATGCTGTCCTAAATTGGCCAATCTTCGTCATTACATTTGCATCAGGTCCTCCTTATTCATCGATGATGCTGTCCAGCTACGTGAAAGTTCTACATCTTTCAGAGCTTCACTAACAAGTGTGATTGGTTTGGTGTTCTCTGTGTTGTATTTGAGGATCTTGCTTTTTCCCTTGTGTATGTTGAAGCCTACTGCTAAAGAGACTGTGGTTGTTTTGACCTGCATTTGTTGGTGTGTATGGGTATGGTACTTATCATCTTCACTGATATCACTGGTTTGCGCATAGCACTGGACAACATTCATTGTGACGCCCCATCCTTCTTTGTTTTAATAAATGCTTTGGTGATCCTGGATCCATGAAACTCCCATCCTATAAGTGCATTTCCTGCTTGTTTGAACTGCATCAGAACAACTGCCTGAGTGTGCCGAGCATTTTTTTCTTCGTAACGCGAGTAGAGCAGCATTCCTCGCAAATCTAACCTTTTCTATCCAGCTTGGTTCCAATGTGTTTCACTAATTCTGAAAGTCACCAACTTGTATCTCCTCGTTTGTACAGCAATTTGATCGGCCCTCCCGATCTACTACATTGTCCAGATATTCCATGTAGCTATAATAATTGTTTCTCTGATTGTTATACGTGGAATCAGCCTCGTGCTTCCAAATCTTGGCTTTCACCATGAGGCAACTTAATTCTTCTGACAGATGATCCTTCAACTCGCAGGGCAGAGTTTAATGGTATAAATAGTTTATTCTGGTTCTTCTAGGAAAATTGTTTTCTACGGGACGAGGATGCTTACCCCACGCCCAATCCTGCCTTATCAATACTTGCATCTAAAAACATGAATAACAAGTTTATGAACGCACTTCAATAGATCACACTGTTAGGATACAAATATCCAATCTATTAATAACAAAAACGTTTGCTTGAAAAACAATAAGCCGGAACAACACAATGAAACGTTTGTATCGGGTAACTTATATGTAGCACATATATATCAATTGTTTAAATCACATACCTTTTCGGATTCTTGTAATCTTAAAAGAGTGAAAAAAGGATCAGTCAGAGTTTTCCAAAAGTCACACCTGAAAAGGAATCAAGAACACAGAAAACTGATTAAAATTGAGGAAAATATAAGCAAATGACTGTTAATTTTTTAAAATGAAGTCAGGAGTTCTTTTTATTGCATTTATTTCAGTATACTCTACAATCACTCAAAAGGGATAAATAAAAAGTAATTCAAGAATAACAAGAGAATGGATGTAAATCCAGTATTCCCTAGGAAAGAAAATACAATATAACGAACTAGGTTATACATAAACAACCATTTACAGTAACAACAACAAATAACGGCTAACAATGATGTAATGAATATATTAATGTCAAGTTATAAATGTATCGCTAAGTAATAAATTACAAAAATTCAAAATCCATGTAGGTTGGGATTTACTACAATTATATAGATCAAAAGCTTTTCTTTCAAAATCCCCGACATAGTCCTCAGGTTTATGTACTAAACTCTGGGACATACATTTTATATGTAACCCAGTGATACTAATCAAATGCACAACTCCACGTAAAAGTAAAACGCGAACCCAAAAGTCAACAGTTAAGAAGAAATTGTTTGTATCACAACCCACAAATGAAAAGTTATAAATCTTTAAGTATCGACTTCAAATGATAGAACAGTACATTTTTATTTATTTGAACCAATTAAAAAGTGACAAATAATACAAAGTCCTCTTGAACCTACCTTTGTTTTAAATTTACGATGCATGGTTGAATATTTAGGAGATAAAGAGATGAGATAAATTTCGTCACACTCCAAAACAATACAGTTGATAACCGATTATTATTAGTATTATCATTATCGTCAAACTGTTTCTGGAAAGATTTATTCTAGTAAGGAAAAGAAGAATAAAATTAAAGTTTTTACATTTTAAGTATAGAGATTTAGATAACGTATTCTAGTTATCCTTAAGCTTTTATTATTAATGGGTTGATAAGCTGTTTAACTAAAGTCCCTTCTAAAGTTCTTTTTGTCTACACAATAAAAAGTCCTTAGTGGTAGCCATTAGGAATTCCTTTCGCTAGTTTCTAAAGATCTTTGTAAGGTAGCTAAACTGAGTGATGACAAGGATTTTTTAATTCAAAGCAACTTTCATGTCTTCTTATCAAAAACTAACTTGAAGCGAGATATTTTCTTAGGGGTTTAAATTTTGAATTAGGTAATTTGGTGAACATTGTTTTTAATTATAGCCTGCAGCTGAAATGTAAGTAAATCTCTTAAAAACTGGTTGATTTTATGACATCTTTAGAGAATAAATACGTGCAGACTCTAAGAATTAAGCAAACTATAAGAAGCTCTAATCAAATATGAGTCGTTGCGTAATAGGCTCACGATTAGCTCAGTACATAATTCAATTTAAAACAACATATATAAGGTTATTATAATATATTCATAATAAGTAAAACTTAATAATTTGGGATGTATAATTCACTCTGAATGATAAGCAACAATTTTCTTAAGTGAGTAACCAGAGAGTAGATTAAAATAGTCTAGAAAACCAATTAAACATAGTATTTTACAAACCCTGTAATGTATATGTACAGCATACAAACAGCTATACGATAGTATTGTGCTGAAATTTCTGTGTAGATAAACTATCTACATGAGACTGAGGAGAAATGGAGATGTGGAATTCAATACGCTAAGAATATTTTTTGTTTTGAATATTATCCCGTTTTCTAATGACAGAAATTGATTGGATGGAGAATGCTGGTGAGCGGCCTATGCTCCTTCACGAGGAGTAACAGGCGTAAGTAAGTAATGACAGAAATTGAACTCTCATTTTAACATGCGATTCTGTGCATAAAGAGAGCAAGCAATTTTATTCGACAGCTAGTAATAGGATACCAATGAGATCATAGAATGTACTTACGTACATTTAACGATAAAATTAAAAAATGTTTAAGAAAAAACTGACAGAAGACATCATGAGCAAATACGAAAGTGGGTTTTAATTTATCGAAACGTATTGACTACTCGCAAGTAGTTTAATAGGTACAACAAAACGTTCTAAACAGTACGAGGTTGCATATCTTGGTTGAACCAAAGCTTTTGGCTTTTTGTTCATAATGTGCAATCTGAGTACATGCATAAAGTTGATCGAAATGAAGTATTGTATTTTAATGAAGGTTCCATCACATTCCAAACAGATTTTAAAGATGTGAATCATCACAGATGAAAAAGCTCCATAAATAATTTACATAATGCCATCACACGCTATGACACGCACTCAAATACATCTTCCTTTCTTATGACATTTATCGCCATTCTGATAAGTATGTGCACGATCTTCAAAGGAACAGAGAGATAATGTTGTCAGGAGAATCGGAAACAGTCGAAGTATGAGAATACATTGCATTTCTCTGTTGCCTGGAATCATCAAAGATCCTACTGATCAAACAGACATCAACAATCCTTATAAGTTAGCAGACAGTTTCGTAATTCACAAAATAACTAATTCGGTAGATTTACTAATATAAATCTAGAATAACATATTTATTAAATTATTTCAAATGTGTAAATTTTGGAGTTTTCAACTGCTGTGTATTAATCATTCAAATAACACGTGATACACAGCATAGTGCAACTATAAAAAGATAATGATTACTGAACATTTACGAAAAAAACCAATCAAATAAAATACAATTATACCTGAAGTTCCTTAAGTGTATCTATTACACAATCCAAACAATCAGAATTTGAAATTTCTTTGGATTTAGTAGCCATCGTTCTATTGAACTCCATATCTGAACCTATAATAGTTCCGTCTGTTAAAAGTAAACGTAGTAGTCCAAATGGCAATCGTGAACTAATAGGTCCATATTTTTCACTATTTAATACTGTCTCTGATAATAAATCATACAATCCAACACGTACCAATTGATCTTCTGTAGTGGAAACTAATCTCTTCAGGCAAGACGCACGTGTTTGATTTAACTCATTGCCCAAATAATTTGTAATATCAACAGATGAATACTATATAATAGTATAAACAAGAAAGTGAGTTGAATCATTAGTACAGTTAATGATAAAGATAAAATAAAGCGAAAATATCGAAGCTGAATCAAATATGAATTAACAATACATTAAGCATTTATAACTAACTTGTGTTATCCACTTTAGTAATGCAACAACCAAACGAGAAATTCCAACATTAAACGAATACCGAAGATAAGAGAATAAAGTGGTGATGTAATGATCCCCAGTGAATGAATTAGAATAACACTGCAAACTTGTCAATAGAGGAGGAGGAGTTGAATTCGAATTGTCTGGTTCAATCATTAATTTATTTTCTAAGTTAAGTAAATGATGAACTAATGTAAGCGATAACCAAACAGCTCTTACAGTTGGTGAACTACTATTATCCACTAGAATCTTTTTCCTTGAAATATCACAATTATTCAAGTAGATTGACATAGGGAAACTAGAATAGTAACAAAAAACGTTTTCTAATGTAAATTCGTTTAAATTATAGCAAAAAGAAGAATTAACCACAAATATTTATGTGGTTGGAAGCAACAATAAAATACCAATGCAATAAGTTTATCGAAAATATTTAGTATACAGAAAATATTTACTGTGACATTTTGAAATGTAAAATGAGATTTTAAGGTATAATCTAAAAGTATATATTCCTGGTACATGTATGTTAATATGCATACAGCGAGGTTTCAAGGCTTTCAAACTTTTATTAACTTTTAAAAGATATTCCAGAACAAGTTCTCATTCATCATTATGTTGTATAAACCTAACCCCATCAACTTTGACGGATAATAATAGCTGGTGCAGTAGTAAACTGGAAGCGAAAAGAAGTTAAACTAAAGCGTGGAATCAGTTCATGAAGTCACTGATTGTTAGACTGAGCCATGTCAGTAAGGTGTATGACCTAGTTGGGACCATAAATGTTTGACGACATGAATCAGAATCGGTTAAAACTGCTAAGATGCATCTAATCTCTTTTTTTACTTTACATGTTGAGTTCCATTATTCCTTCACATTTCTTTTCAGTGTCTTACCGGACTATATTCAGTGTTGTTTTTCGTTTAGAAATCTTGCAAAATTATTTTGATCCTTTTGCTATTTATCATTAAAATATTACCATGTATTTTCGATGTTACGTTATTCTAAAGGACTATGACAAAAAACTTCGTCAAAAATTTCTATTAGTCATAAATATGTATTTATATATCCTTCATCAAATAAACTGACTTCACAGATCCCTTGAGTAGAACAATGAATCAACAGAGAACCTTTAATACTTGAGTATCAGAATGACAGGATATTATATTGAATTAGGTTAAGAGAGACCGATAAACCCATTGCCTGAAGCTAAAAATCTAGTCTAACAAAATGTATTTCTTGATTGTTCTGTAGAAGTGTTTTACCGAAATTACTTACATTTGAATGAGACTGTACAAATACAATCTCTGAATTTTATATTGTGAATCAAAAAATATACCCACATAAGTGGTAATAAGTTCAGCATGGTGAACGCTTCGTGTAAAATTTCGAAAGATAAAAGACTGTGAGTAAAGTAGTATATACGAGAGAAGTATTCTGTTTAACTTCTATAAACTTTAGCGTTGTTAGAGTATGAAGGCTTCTTTCACGGACAAAACACAAAAACTTCAAACTTTCCAGTGTGTCAGCTTTGGATCGCTAGGGTTAAATCTTCTGTCGATGATTTTAACTTAGATACACTTACGCTTCACATACAATTATCCTTCGTTATGATCTAGTATTGCGGATAGTGTAAAGCGCATCGCTAATCTTCAAAATTTGTACCGTACATTAGTTTCAGAAAACTGTCTTCGAATAGGATATTATTGAGTGAGCGATTTTCAGTTAGACTAAAAGATTTGTAGATTTTAACAATAAATTTATTCAACTAAGTCAGCGATCCACTGTCAAAGTAGCGTAAGAAAATAAACAGATTATTTTGTTCTTTTAATTTCCTATTTTCACGTATTTCTTTAATCCTTTCATCTTTGTTTTAGTTAATATTCCCTCTTTCTAGTAATGAAATGTAACTTTGTATAGAGAAATATCTATATCACATTCTGTATTGTTCTCTTTGTCTGGCGACAGTAAATAAAATCAGGTTGGTACTGAACACTGACATCATTATTTTGCATTACTGATACAATCCATTTTCATGACGTCTTGCAAATGCAACCAGTACTCATAAATACATTGTGGTGAGTTGACAGCTGGCCTTGAACTTACTCATTGTATCAGTAATTCTAGTTATCATTAAATTTGTAATAACTACAATTACTGATACAACGGGTAAAAAACCTAATAATCAAGCGAATGACTAAACCACAAACAATAATATAATACAGTACCATATGACATCTAACAATGTTATATTGATCTAAAAAGACTTATTTTACTGGGTAGTTATGTCTATTGATATCAGTTCGTTTAGTAGCTTATGCCAACAATTCGACCATGTAAGGAGTTCACTCACGTTATACCACTCCACTTCGTCTATCCGTATGCATTCTGTTTTTTTACTTTAACAACCTCGAACATGTATTATCTTGATCAAACCTAAGAAACAACTTTTACAATAAGCACAATTAGGAATTAGTCAGTGGAGAATTATACACTACGAAATCATAGTAAATGGAGTTAATGGTTATATGTGATTTTAAATAGAATTTTTTTGTGCAGTTATTAAGGAATATAAAAATCAATCATTATTATATAGTGTAACAGGAAATTTGTATTTCTAAAAACAACTCATTTCTATTGACGGTTCAGTGTTAATAGGGTTCAAATTTTAGCTATTAAGTCCCACGTACAAAACCCCGTTCCATATACCTTCATTTAGCAACCGAGTAGTATTCCTAGCCTTTACATTAAGAGAGCAGCTTATATCCAAGTACTTAGTGGATGAGCTAACTAAAAGAACACTTTTTAAAATAAACACTTACCCATATTCAATGGATTCTGTTTGTCTCAATAAAATACTTTGGTGAATTGATGAGAATGCTATTAAAGCATTTAATGAACGTGTATCATTGAGTAATAAATGTAATGTGATACACTGATAAGTTATAGGCCAATGATTTTCTTCAGATATGAATTTAGGAAATAAATGAAACAGTGATGTTGAAGATGATGAAGATTCTTGTTTAAGTTGTTTTAAAATCATTCGTAAAATTTGTATATCTTGTTCCGATGTACGAGTTGTTAATACATCGGTTAATAGCATGAAACAATGTTCGGCTAATTAAAAAGAAAAAGAAAAATTATTTAAGTAGTTTATAATTTGGTTAGAGAAATGTTTAAAAAAAAGTAGGAATTTAGTACTTTGACATATGTTGGAGATTCTAGATCCCCAGAAATCACTTGATAAAAGTCTCATTTTTGTGATTTGACTTTGGAAATTCGAATTTGTCATTTTCGCACCAAAAGCACCTACTTTTACCTAGTTTGTATTTCCCACTTGGAAGGACCTTAAATGTCATTGGGTCGTTCCCTCTTTCAATACGTTAATTTGTGACGTTTTCCAAGGACATTTTTGTACTGTATATATACGCATGAGTTATGTGCTTGTTCGTTTGTGCATCTGGGCTGCTTGTGGAATATACATTTTCCTCGACTGAATCTGGTTTTCTCCTCTAGTAGTTAGCAGGGTTGGTGCGCAGTGGAATAGTTGAGCTTGTCCTGTTCTTGTGTTGCTGACTTTTGTTCCGTTCGCTGGTATTTAGTGATATCGTATTCTCCTGAGACGTAACATATAACAACCAATCTTTTCAAAAATCGAACATTTTATTCAAAGTTATATATGTCATGTCTTGTGGCCTGGTTAATTATCACGTGGTTAAGTAGCCAATTAGAACACGACTTATACAATATTAGCACAGTATCAAACCGATTATGCGTGGACCGGTACGAGCAGTCTTTATAGGTCGAGGAGTGCGTTTTTGAGGAAAAAATAACTGGTAGATACATTGTTACTATAAACGAGAGGTCAACAACACTAATTGACTCTTGAATTTCAAGTGGTCTAGCTTAAATCGAATCATGAATTCAACTATTAAAATTAATCCAATCTCCACAGACCCCTCATTCTGATAGTAATCATCATGTGCTCACTAGTGACTGGCTTCAAGTTGATTTCCTGGAGTTCTGGTAAGAAGCCGTGACCAGTGGAGTCCAATCCGTGTCGGGTAGAGACAGGTATTCACCTCAGAAAATGGAACAATGGTTGCGCAAAATCATGGATGGATTGGAGTTACACACTAACACCGCTGGACGCAGGCTCAGTGGTCTAGAGGTTAATCATTCGCGCGCGACCTAAGGTCCTGAGTTCGAGTCCCGCATGCGAGATCTTGGATGCGCACTGCTATGTAGGTCCCATACTGAAACGAAACAGCCTACCAATGCTTCCAGGTTTCCAATGATAGTCTAGCTTACATCGACTTATGAATTCAACTATTAATAAATAATTATCAAACTAAATTCAATTTCAATATTATCAAGACCGAATATAGAATGAATTGAATATTTGTCGATGTTTCCTTACCCCATGATATATAAAAAATACAATACCAATAAAATCATATTAAAATTGTACATAACACAGTATGAAAATTTTCAATATAATAATAAATATTGCATATAATAATAAAGTATTGATTACTATCTTATTTTTGAGATGTTGATGTCGTTCAGAAGAATGATGAAAACACTACGACCAAACCATCTAGCTCAATGAATAAAACTCCATTAAAATTATTTTATTTTTTGTTTATTAATAAGAATATATATATCACAATTTAAAACTTACCTAGATTAGCTAATTGATCAAAATCTACTTTTAATAAAAGATTTTTTTGAATTAATCCATTATTAATAGAATGAATATTGAAATTTTCATTACAATAATCTACTTGTGAGCACATTATCATAAGATATTGAATAATAAATACAAGACATCCATGAATTAATTCAGAACATTCTATATATAATGGTATAATATCAATATGAATATTTTCAATAATAAATTCTGAATTAGAATATGCCCATCGAATAAAGAAAAATAATCCAGATATAAAATTAATATATGAAATAAGTAATTGATATTCATTTGTTGAATAATGATGTAATGATGTTACTTGGTGGAAATTTAAAAAATTAATTGGTTCCGATGAATTATAATTAAGAATAGTGTTAATTAAATAACAAGAATTAAGTCCAAATGTTAATCTGTAATTAAAAACAAAAGAAAGAATAATAACAACAATAAAGTAAATAAATAATACATTTTTATAAAGTTATTTGCATGAACATTTGTAATTTGAGTAATATTTATGATATTTGATAAGTGAACTCCGCTTGTAACTCTTTCAGGGACACTGTCGATCCAAAGCTCGGGTAAACGAGGAAGGTTGAGAGACTTAGCATCCTAATCCAGTCAGTCAGTTAGTCAGTAACAACGTAGAACTTCGTACGTACGTACATCAGTTCGAGTTGCCACACCACATTAGCACAGAGATGCAGTGGTTAATTCAAATCCCGTAGTGGTAGAGGTAATAAGAGTATAAGCAGTAATCGGGAAGATTAGTGTTTGGAGATGTTACTTAAAGAGTATAATACAGTGAAATAAACTTGGGAAGAGAAAAAAAGAGACAAGGGGGGAATAAGGAGATCAAAATTTGGGAGAACACAAGGAGTGGATGCACCTGCGCCATCGCAAACGATTTTGAGCCATGTCATTCAAGGTCTCTAACCATCGGTTACTATCATCTCGCGGTCCCCAACCAGGTAGTATACACCTACCGACATTACTCAGTCCACTTGTCAATGACTTCATGGATTTGTGCCATGTTTTGGTCTGGCCGCCCCTAGCTCTCTTCCAACCTACTCCTATACCACTGAAAATCGCACGTCGAGACAGTCGGTCGTTGGGCATATGTAACGCGTGTCCCAGCCATCTCAACTGATGAAGTTTCACCACTTCATCAATTGATTTGCCATCCTTACCTAGTACTCGTTTCCTAACAACTGCATTACTTACTCGATGGTCCCAGCATATACGAGCAATATTTCGAAGACACCTATGATCAAATACTAGTAGTCTACGAATACCCTCTACTCTTACCGGTCATGTTTCACTGCCATAAAGTAGGACGGAACGAAATGCTGCGCAGTTAACCCGTCCTTTGGTTGGTAGATGGATATCTCGCCTACGCCATAAATGACGCAAGTTGGCAAAAGCTAGTCGACCCTTCTGTATCCGTGCTGATATATATATATATATATATATATATATATATATATATATATATATATATATATCTGTGAATCTGTAATTTTTATTACCTATATCTAATTACTTAATAGGAATATAGTTAAGGTAAATTATATTTCAGAATGATTTTGAGACTATGAACCATTTGAGATAGTCGGAAAATGGTAAATATGAACATATGAATTAAAATATGAAATCGGAGAATTTACAAAAATATGTTATTTTTACATGAATAGTTAGCTTTACTAACTCCGCCTGTAGCTCTTATAGGGTTACTGCCGGTCCCAAGCCCGGGTAAAGGAGGAGGGTTGGGCATGGGGTTAGCGTCCCCATCCCGTAGAAAACTAACTCGCTAAAAAAACGCTAACCAGAAAAAATAATCCAAACCATTTAAACTCTGCCCTGGGAGTTAGAAGGTCTTCATTTAGAAGAATTATGACGCTTCATGGTGAAAGCCGAGTTCCTTCGGAAGCCATGAGGCCGATGCCCCTTCTAACAACCAGAGCAAAAATTTTTATAGGTACATGGAACGTTCGAACAATGTGGGAAACCGGGAAGACCAGTCAAATAGCATTGGAAATGAGGAGATACAACTTAGCCGTACTGGGAATCAGCGAAACCCACTGGACCCAAGCTGGACAGAAAAGGCTAGCTACGGGAGAGATGCTGCTATACTCCGGTCACGAAGAGGACAATGCTCCACACACTCAGGGAGTCGCTCTTATGCTGTCCAAATTAGCACGAAATGCACTTGTAGGATGGGAATCCCACGGATCCAGAATCATCAAAGCATCATTCAAAACAAAGAAGGACGGGATCTTAATGAATATTATCCAATGTTATGCACCCACAAATGATAGCAACGACGACATTAAAGATCAGTTCTACGAGCGGCTGCAGTCAGTTATTGAGAAATGCCCAAGGAAGGACCTAACTATTCTGATGGGAGATCTAAATGCCAAAGTCGGAATAGACAACACTGGATATGAAGATATTATGGGACGACATGGACTGGGAGAAAGAAACGAAAATGGAGAAAGATTTGCAAATCTATGTGCATTCAACAAATTGGTCATAGGAGGCACAATATTTCCACACAAGAGTATACACAAGGCTACATGGATCTCACCGGACCACACTACAGAGAACCAAATAGATCATATTTGCATCAACAAAAAATTCAGAAGGACAATGGAAGATGTGAGAACCAGGAGAGGTGCTGACGTAGCTTCAGATCACCACCTAGTTGTGGCCAATTTTAAACTGAAGCTAAAAAAGAACTGGACAAGTGGACAAACAGCAATACAAAGGTTCAATACAGCCTTCCTTCGAGATACTGACAAACTCAATGAATTCAAGATAGCTCTCAACAACAGGTTCCAAGCCTTACAAGATCTACTGAAAGAAGAAGAAACTAGTATGGAGGACAACTGGAAAGGCATCAAGGAAGCATTGACTTCAACGTGTCAAGAGGTTCTGGGTCTAAAGAAATACCATCATAAGGAATGGATCTCTACAGAAACACTGGACAAGAACAAAGAAAGGAAGAACAAGAAGGCAGCAATAAACAACAGCCGAACACGAGCAGAGAAAGTCCAAGCACAAGCTGAATACATAGAGGCAAACAAACAAGTGAAGAGGAGCATTAGAGCCGACAAGAAGAAATATGTGGAAGAACTAGCAACGACGGCAGAAAAAGCTGCTAGAGAAGGAAATATGAAACAGCTTTACGATACAACGAAGAAACTAGCAGGAAAATACAGTAAACCAGAGAGACCGGTCAAAGATAAAGAAGGCAAGCCAATCACCGAAATTCAACAACAGCGGAACAGATGGGTAGAATACTTCGAGGAACTCCTGAATAGGCCGGCTCCAATGAATCCACCGGACATCGAAGCGGCACACACAGATCTTCCCATAGACGTCAACCCACCAACGAAGGAAGAAATCAGAATGGCCGTCAGACAAATCAAGAACGGGAAAGCAGCGGGTCCGGACAACATACCAGCTGAAGCACTGAAGTCAGACATCGAAGCAACTACAAACATGCTTTATCTTCTATTCAAAAAGATTTGGGAGGAGGAACAAGTGCCGATGGACTGGAAAGAAGGGCACCTCGTCAAGATTCCAAAGAAAGGAGATCTGAGCAAATGTGAAAACTATAGAGGCATTACACTGCTGTCAATACCAGGGAAGGTCTTCAACAGAGTGTTGCTGAACCGAATGAAAGATGCAGTAGACGCCCAACTTCGAGATCAACAAGCTGGATTCCGTAAGGATCGATCATGCACAGACCAAATTGCAACACTACGGATCATCATCGAACAATCAGTTGAGTGGAACTCATCACTATACATCAACTTCATTGATTATGAAAAGGCATTTGACAGTGTGGATAGGAGGACGTTATGGAAACTTCTTCGACACTACGGAGTTCCTGAGAAGATTGTCAACATTATCCGGAACTCATACGACAGACTACAATGCAAAGTCGTGCATGGAGGACAGCTGACAGATGCATTCCAAGTAAGGACCGGAGTAAGACAAGGCTGTTTACTCTCTCCCTTCCTCTTTCTTCTGGTGGTCGACTGGATTATGAAGACCTCGACATCTGAAGGAAAACACGGAATTCAATGGACAGCTCAGAATCAATTAGACGATTTGGACTTCGCAGATGACCTAGCCCTCCTATCACGTACACACGAACAGATGCAGATGAAGACAGCCAGTGTAGCAGCAGTCTCTGCATCAGTAGGCCTCAGCATACACAAAGGGAAAACCAAAGTCCTCAAATTCAAAGCGGAAAACAACAACCCAATCACTCTTGATGGCGAAACTCTGGAAAATGTAGAGTCCTTCACATACCTGGGAAGCATCATCGATGAACAAGGAGGTTCAGATGCAGACGTAAAGGCAAGGATTGGCAAAGCAAGGACAGCATTCCTACAGTTAAAGAACATATGGAACTCAAAACAACTTTCAACCAATATCAAAGTGAGAATCTTCAATACCAACGTCAAGGCAGTTCTACTGTATGGAGCTGAAACTTGGAGAACTACAACAACAACCATCAAGAAGGTACAAGTATTTATAAATAGTTGTCTACGCAAGATACTCAACATCCATTGGCCGGATACCATCAGCAATAGCCTTCTGTGGGAGAGAACAAACCAATTTCCAGCTGAAGAAGAAATTAGGAAAAGACGATGGAAATGGATAGGACATTCATTACGCAAATCGTCAAACTGCATCACGAGACAAGCCCTAACTTGGAATCCTGAAGGGAAGCGAACAAGAGGAAGGCCAAAGAACACATTGCGTCGGATAATAGAAGCAGATATGAAAACGATGAATTACAACTGGACGCAGCTAGAAAGGATTGCCCAGGACAGGGTTGGATGGAGAATGCTGGTGAGCCGCCTATGCTCCTTCACGAGGAGTAACAGGCGTAAGTAAGTAAGTAAGTAAGTAGTTAGCTTTACTAAGCTTCCTATAGGTTTTGAAATGGTGATTTGTAGCTCAGTTTGATGATTTTGATGGAGTTTTGTTCTCTGAGCTGGATAGTTTAGCCGTGGGGCTTTCATCGTTCTTCTGGACGATATCATAAGCAGAAACTTTAGGAACACTTCACTTGTACCTAAAGTTTGTGCTGGTGATGTCGTCCAGAAGAAAGATGAAAGCTCCATGGCTAAACCATCCAGCTCAGTGAAAAAAACTCCATCAAAATTTCTATGGCTTCTTAACCGTCAGAGTTATTATGGTTAAGGTTTGTGAGTTAGAGCTAGTTTATAAAAACACTGATCCGTAATGTTAACCCTATACTTGAACTTAAACTAAGTACACCATTTAAATGTCTCGAAATCAAATAACGATGTAAGCTATAAATCATTGAGTACGATTTAGTGTTCTACATTGGATTTAATAAATAACGTCATCAAAAGTAGTTATGATAAAAATAAACATTGATTACTAAGTAGTGATACAATGAGAGAAATTTGTCGCAGTGGTAATGATGCAGTTCAGTTAATTCTGTAAGCAAAGTGGGTGGGACAAAATTTGTTTGGATCTCATAAACTAATAGTGACTTTATTATACAGTCATTTAACCAATCCAGATTATATGATAAAGAATAGTGATCAGCCATATGAATTCAGTGTAAACATTCATAGTATGATGAAACTGAAATAAATATATTTGTTGATCTGACTACTACTATTTACCAACTTCAATTAGTAGAATAATCAAGTTATTAAAATCAAGTTTTAAACATTAAAATAAACTAGAACTCAAGCAACATTGAACACAAGTTAATATAACTTACTGTGAGTTTTGACTATTCTGATTAATAACCATACGTGGTATAATACTATGACTATTATTTAATACATTAGTCAATAGATTAATATTTTCCATAATTAATTGCTTTGATCTTAATGTAGGTAAATTTAATAACGAATGTCCAATTAAACACAATAAATTAGGTAATAACGAATAAATAATTAATTCATCAATTGAATTACGATTTGTTATTATTTCATTTGAAGATTTAATTTTTCCATAAAAATTTCGATGTATTTTAATGAATGACGATGATGATATGTTATTAGTGATATATTGAACAATTAAATTGACTTGGTCAGATGGTATAATATTTAAATAACGTAAAATTATCATCCAAATATATTCAATTGATATTAAACATTGAGAAATATACAAATCACACTAGAAAAAAAAAGAAAAATAGGGTAAGAACCAAAACAATGGGAATTATCGAGTATTATATATCTCAATAAGTGCAGTCAATACGTAATCTGCTTTGAGTTAAACTTCATTAGAATTAATGATAATATCCAAATGTCCAAACTGAAGTAGATGGAAAAAAATTTTGAACCTTTGATCAACTATCTGAAAGCCGAACGTATTAACAACAAAGCGATTGTTAGGTTATGGTGCACATGGGCTCTAGGATTCTGAGGGAACAAATAGCGTATGAACCAATTATTGGTCACCAGGTACCATGAGACTGCATCTCCTTACTTTTTTCCACTGCCTTGTGGATCAGACCATTAGGTCGAAGGCTCTGGGAGTGGCCCACTAAGAAAACCACCTGCTTCTGTCTGGGCACTCGGACACTATCACAGCCCACACACAAATCAAGTGACTTGTGTGGCGTATGTGAATTCGGTGCTCCTTTGTACCAATAATTGCGTTCAAATAAATAGATAAATAAATAAATTGTTCGGATTAATTAATTCCAGATAATTTACATAAGTACAAAGTGTTTCAGTCACGTAATATTTTATTCTTCTAAACGCGATTGGAATCTCTATAATAGATACTATTTTGAACTGCAATGATACTTTGATTTTAGAGTTACTAAATGTTCTGGAACCACGAAAATCGAAATCTCATACAGAAACTGTTGTGTGATATACATCTATTACCTTGTTAATAGTACTAATTTTCCTTATCAAATCGAAAACCCTCATTTTTAATGGCATAGCCAAAAAACTGAACATATTTTACTAATTACATCACAGAAGCATACAAAATAGTAATTTATTTACTCTAGTTTTACATAAATCAATATTAAAAATCTCGCTAAATATAAATATATAAGTATTGAAGTGACTAGTTGAAAATATGAACCACAAGAAGCCAGCTTAATGGTCTAAGCGCAAAACACTTGGAGCTAGATCTGAACTTTTCGTATTCCATGCCCAGCCGGTCGTGAGGTGGGTAATGCCAACGAATTTGTACTGGGATGAAATAGATTCACTTGGTATCATGGTTTTGTATTTGGTTATAAATAAAACACTGAGTGCATATACATATATGAAGCAGACGATAAATAAATAAATTCATTCAATAAATAATCGTTTTAAATAAGTGCTTGACTCATACCGATCTACATGAATATAAAGTTATCGAGAAACCTCAATTAATTAGCCTGTAATGAGTAGAATGCATGTGGATGTTTAGTCATTCCGCTTTATAAAATCAATCATATATCACAATTATTAGTAATAATTACCTTGAAACAAGCGGATATAAACTCAAGGAGATCCAACAATCTTGTTAACCTAGTATAAAATTGAGCATAAAGTTCGGCTTGAGTTTGAAGTAACTCACAGTCATATGACGTAGTATTTAATATCACACGAGCTTCATATTTATCCTTAAATGAATCAATAGATTTATGAAAATCGTTGAGTGCCAATTCAGCTAAATAAATCTCATTGCCAATTACATGCCAAAGAGAATATTCAATACGCCATACAATAAGACCTAAATCTATCCATGAATTGGAAGGAAAAAAAAGTTAGAAGCTGTTTGCAAATCAGATACAGGCATCATGAAATACAATGAATTTATAAAGCATACAGTTGGATGTGAATATGAAAAGGTGGGAACAGTACATTCGCAACTTAGGAGTAAATGGGAGCGATCTAACAATTCAGTTGTATTAAAGCTGTATAAAATTTATTACTTACACGGAAGCATATTTTCGCATCATGCTAAAAATAATTTTTATGCGAATTCACAGGAAAGGTTAGCTGAAAACACTACGACTTAAAGGGCACATAAAAAGTGGCTGCGAACACCAACCATTAGTATCGCTAAATGTAAAGAAGTATAATAAAAATAAGGTATGAGGTTACCCCGACAACTAATTTGACATCAATATTCTACTACTCGAAACACATGATATCACCCAAATGTACCCATATAGGCTAGTAATATCTGAAAGAATTAAACGATTAAATACTTTCAACTTCAGCATATTTTCTACTATTAATAGTTAAATTCTGTAGAATTTGAATTAAACCGAAATATAATTCTGAGCAGCAGTTTTGCCTAATATTATACACAATGGACATTTCATTAACAATAAAAGTAGTACGAAGTAACAAGACGCACAAAGAGTTTACGCATCTGTGATCAGATTTCGTCAGGAAGAAACCGAAGAGAACATGATTACTTAATCTTTTTGGGTTATACTGTGAGTTGAAACAAAACAATTTCGAAGTAATATGTTTTTTATTCAAGAGGTGGAAAACCTATTCCCAATATACATCTTTTGCCATTTGAGAAATTCAAGACTACAGTCCAGCAGTCACGTAATTAACAAATAACTAGTAACGTAAAATGTTGTTTTGGAGCAAGGAATATGAGTGGGTTTTCAAGTCGGTAAATATACCTGTGTTCAAAGACTTCACAGAGTAAAAATTTCGTTGGTATATCTTCGAGCATATCTGAAACATTTCCAGTATTTACGGACCACTCCATTTTAAGTACCAACTGTACACCAAATAACCATGGAATCTTGGGTGTCAGACAAGATGGTTTCGCTGTGAGTTATCGATCCAACTTCTTATACTGAAGAATCGCAGATCTATAGTACTATAACGATATATTTTGAAAGGACTGCAGTCTAAATCATAAATAAGAAAGATTGGTTCACAGAAGAGTTCTCTTTTCGGCAAATTCATTTTCACAGTTGTACGATCGCAAATATATATACTTATTTTTCAGGATGATAATAATTACAATAATACCGATAACGAACTTCTTTTAAATATGGTAACAGTGAGGTGCCAATTTACCTGCTCATATGGAGCTAGGTATATAGATCATTCGATGTGTACTTTATACAAAAGAATTCAAGAACATGACCCGGAGTGGCTAAAGAGATGCGGAAACGGCTCAATAAGAAGCTCAATAATCGAACACCTTATGAACACAGGACACTCAATCAGAGTGGACTCGGTGTTCAAAGTCATCTAAAAGGTCAGTAGGAGCTGCCGAAGACAATTATATTGCATCGTCTTGATACTGACGAAGCAATAACTATACATTTGGGAAAACCAGAATTGTATATCCAAAAGAAAGTGGTACAACCTCTTCTTCTACCATCAGCCCCGACCGAAGCTGCTACCATGACGCGGTGGACGGGCTTGCCGATCGCGATGACCCAACCGAGCTATACTGGCTGGAACAGTCGTTTCTCAAGGTCCTACCATGCCAGGAAGGTCGATTGCAGAACGGTAAGACTAAAAGCAGCAACTCAAGGTCTGAGGGCGAAGTCGTACTGCTGACTGTAGAGGGATGTGACAGCAGTAAGGTGTTTCCCTCGGACAACCAGCATCTGCAGCCTTCCCACAAGCAGGGGTGGGGTTAGAAAAGGTCGACCCTAAGAATGTCACACCTCACCTTACCTCACGGATTTCCGTCTCCGGCGGTAAGGCCCTTTGAAGAACGGAGCTAACTCATTAAAAACGTTCCACAAAAGGGCCGTGCGTGACCAGCCCCAAGCAGTTGTCCCTTGGGCTCTGCAGTCACGCCACCAGGTCGTTAAGACCAACACTAATCCAATTTCCTTTTCAGGTTCCTCGAGAAATACCCTTTCACGGTGTGGGCAGCCGGGAAGTGATATCAGCCCTCATACCCGTAACAGAGCACGAAACCAGGTTGGTCACATTCAAATCCTTCCTACACCTCCTAATACCTCTCTTATCTCCATGACTAACCCTCCTCACGTCTTTCTATCATCTCGCACCGCTAAGGCGAACGATTCAAGTACAGGGAACGTTATTCCTGGTCTCCTGGAACCACTCTCTAATCTACACGTAGGAGCTTTTAACGTCCGAACACTGTGCCAAATAGGACAAAAGAATCCCGCGCCATCGATGTGTGCTGCGTCTCTGAAACGCGCATACATGAACGAGTAGCGTCATTCATCTGATATCACCATGACAAATAAAGAACCGACTCGATTCACACACTTCGTGTATCTGGAAGCCCTGATTCTGCTTCCCGTGGCCTCGCCGGCGTAGGTATAGCATTGAGTCCCAGAGCAGAACTAACTCTCTTAGACTGGATCCCAGTAGACAGCCGTTTGTGCGCTTTCCGACTAAACGGAACAGTAAGAATCCGGAAAGATAGGGACACTAGTCGGTGCCTCTTCGTCGTCTCTGCCTATTCTCCCACTGACTGCAGCGCAGATGATGTAAAAGATGAGTTTTACAGAAAGTTTTTCGACCATCTCCGAAAAGCTAGGCGCTATGATGTAGTAATAGTGGCCGGTGACTTTAATGCTCAAGTAGGTAAACTAAGCGATAGGGAAAGACACCTAGGTGGATCTTATGGTGTCGTGGCTCAAAGAACAGATAATGGCGACCGTCTGTTGCAGCTATGCTCAGATAATCGCCTGTTCCTTGCAAATACTAACACTAAACATAAAGAAAAACATCTTTTAACATGGCAACCCCCTAATTCGTCCCAACGTTGGACCCAAATAGATCACATCGCTATCAGCCACCGATGGAGGGGCTCCATAGAAGACTGTCACTCATTCTGGAGCACATGCTTAGATTCAGATCATGCTCTAGTGCGAGCGCGTATTTGCTTGCGTCTCACTGGACGTAGGAAAGACGCTGCAAGGAAACATCTTAGGGGCCTACTTAATGATGGTCAAGCTAAGAGTATATTTCAGGAACAACTAGGAAAACAGTTAGGCAGCCATGTATGTGATGCCCACCCCGAGGCAGCATGGAATGATATCCGTAAAGCTGTGGAAACAGCAGTGATATCTGCTAGTACGGTAACCCGTAAGGTTAGGGAACGACACTGGATCTCAGCAGCATCTATCGCACTGATAGATGCTCGAAAACTCATCCCACCTGGCTCTGAACATAATGAAGAGCGGAGTCAGCTTAAGCGCAAGCTGACAAGAAGTCTACGCAATGATCGTGAACAGTGGTGGGTAGCGAAAGCAAGAAAGATGGAAAAGGCAGTGGCAATAGGTAATAGCAGACAATTGTTCAGACTCATTAAGGAAACCAGTATTAGGAACCTGACTGTTAGCGAAACAATCTCAGAGAAAGATGGACATATTATTCATTCCCAATCCAGGAGATTGGATCGATGGGCAGAACACTTTAGGGTTCAGTTCAACTGGCCTTCAGCCACACTTCGGTTTCCCACGATCTCTAGTCAACCTGAATGGCAAGTTAATGTAGGTCCTCCGTGTCTTTACGAAGTTGGAAAAGCCATAGGAAATCTGAAGCGAGGGAGAGCAGCAGGCCCTGACAGGTTTACTCCTGAGATTTTTAAGGATGGTGGTCCAGTATTAGCAGTGAGATTAACCGAGGTCTTAGGTAGAATTCAGGAACCGAACGTAATCCCATCTGACTGGTCTCAATCACTGATAGTGCCAGTCTATAAGAAAGGACAAATGTTCTCTTGTGACAATCACAGAGGAATCAGTTTGACTAATATAGTGTCTAAAATATTAGCTTCAATAATACTTCACGATGCTCGTGAAGAGCAGACTAGAGAAAATCAGGCTGGTTTTCGACCTGGACGTGGTTGTATAGACCAAATATTCACACTACGTCAGGTTCTAGAACACAGACACACGTTTAGACGCCCCACAATGGTAGTATTTCTCGACCTTAAGACGGCAGTAGACTCTGCTGATCGTAAGGTTCTATGGCAGTGTTTATCACTGAAAGGAGTACCAAAGAAGTATATTAACCTTATTCAGGCTCTCTACTCGAACACAACTGGTCGAGTGAGAGCTTATGGCGAACTGTCATCAGAATTGATTACCTCAAGTGGTGTTCGTCAGGTCTGTCCACTCTCTCCATTCTTGTTCAACTTTGTCATTGACGTACTTTTAGAGATAACACTCTCCTCATCTAAATTTCTAGGAGTTGAACTTTTACCGGGAGGTTCACTTGTTGACTTAGAATATGCTGATGACATAGTTTTATTTGGCGAAGACGCTGGCAAAATGCAGAGTCTTCTGACCATTCTAAACAGCAATGCAAGCATGTTCGGGATGCGATTCTCTCCCTCGAAATGCAAAATGTTGCTTCAGCATTGGGTTGCATCGACACCCGAACTAATGATAGGGAGTCAAGTAATTGAGCGTGTCGATCGCTTCACTTATCTTGGAAGACTCATCAGCCCTTGTGGTCTGGTGTGTGACGAAATCTCAGCACGGATACAGAAGGGTCGACTAGCTTTTGCCAACTTGCGTCATTTATGGCGTAGGCGAGATATCCATCTACCAACCAAAGGACGGGTTAACTGCGCAGCATTTCGTTCCGTCCTACTTTATGGCAGTGAAACATGGCCGGTAAGAGTAGAGGATATTCGTAGACTACTAGTATTTGATCATAGGTGTCTTCGAAATATTGCTCGTATATGCTGGGACCATCGAGTAAGTAATGCAGTTGTTAGGAAACGAGTACTAGGTAAGGATGGCAAATCAATTGATGAAGTGGTGAAACTTCATCAGTTGAGATGGCTGGGACACGTGTTACGTATGCCCAACGACCGACTGTCTCGACGTGCGATTTTCAGTGGTATAGGAGTAGATTGGAAGAAAGCTAGGGGCGGCCAGACCAAAACATGGCACAAATCCATGAAGTCATTGACAAGTGGACTGAGTCATGTCGGTAGGTGTATACTACCTGGTTGGGGACCGCGAGATGATAGTAACCGATGGTTAGAGACCTTGAATGACATGGCTCAAAATCGTTTGCGATGGCGCAGGTGCATCCACTCCTTGTGTTCTCCCAAATTTTGATCTCCTTATTCCCCCCTTGTCTCTTTTTTTCTCTTCCCAAGTTTATTTCACTGTATTATACTCTTTAAGTAACATCTCCAAACACTAATCTTCCCGATTACTGCTTATACTCTTATTACCTCTACCACTACGGGATTTGAATTAACCACTGCATCTCTGTGCTAATGTGGTGTGGCAACTCGAACTGATGTACGTACGTACGAAGTTCTACGTTGATACCGACTGACTCTACCATGAGCTTAATGTCTCCTAATTTTCTTTCTTTTTCATATTTTTTCCTTTACAGTCATCTGCTTCCCCTTCCATCTTCTCCATAGACCTTCTACCCCCAACTGGTTTATTTCTGTTTCTATAATCCTCCTGGTTACATTTCATCGCAATCTTAGCAGTTTATCTTATCATGCTGAGGCATCCGTTCACAATTATAATTTCCCTATTTATCTTGATGATGAATATTTGGGCTTTTAACAATAAAGCTAGTATTAGTTTCCGTGACTAAAAAACATTCTTTAAATACATTTGTTTATTCGACCTCTCTGTTACCATATTTAACCGAAGTTCGTTATCGATATTGCTGTAATTATTATCATCCTGAAAAATAAATATATATATATATATATTTGCGATTGTACAACTGTGAAAATGAATTTGCCGAAAAGAGAACTCTTCTCTGAACCAACCTTCCTTATTTTATGTCTCAATGTGTATATTATGTTTACCGAAATCATAAATATTTGATGGTGAAAGGTTAATTTTAAAAATAAACATATTTTTGCAAAGGAATTATAGAGTTAAAAAAATTATTTTAGACTCACCTTGATCAACATAACCTTGTGTCCCTGATACCAAGTAGACTCCTGAGAAGATGTTATTTCTCTCAGGTAAACTGGTAGATGATGAGGTTATTTTTGAATTGACAGTCATGACCGTTCGTGGTTTATTTAAAACAACCTGCATGTATAATTTCTTGTCGATATTACTGGTAAGCTGTGGGTATAATGACGCATTTCGTGGAGACAAGTTTTTTGATAATGATTCAGTCAGTGGTTCAGCGAGGTATGGAACACGATTTATAAATTCTTTGACATGATTAACTAGATCGATAGATCCCGATTTAATTTTAGCACTGCTTGAAGGAACAAGCAAACTTGTATAGATACGAAGTACGCTTAAATCATACGGAAAACCTGTAATTTGAATAAGTTCGTGGCTAATTAGCTTCCTCTCATTACTGGCATAAAACATAAATATAATTTTATACGGTCTTTAAAGAATTTCCTAATCATCTTCACAGGACAGATGAAAAAAATCCAATTCATTACTTCAATACAAAAATAACGCTAGATAGAATACGGAAGCAAGAAATGATCAGCCAAAGTGAGATGAATTTAGTAAACGAAAATAAAAGAATATTAACGATTACAATTCAAAAAGGGAGATAAGTAATATTTTATTTCTGTCGATGTACTTACTCCTATCTACTCATAAGACTGAATAAAGCCGTAGTGGGAGCGCGGCAAACGCCAAATCAGAGTTGAATGCTAAGTTTTGTGATTTCTAGTATTTCAACTCGAGCGAAAAGCCAAGAGATACAAATAAAATACCACTGCTCCTCATACTTGGAGGACTGATTTCTTTTCTGAGTCTTCCATTCAGTTTCATTCGGAAAGTTTGGTAGTAAAATCGAAACCACTGGGGAGTCATGTGTACAACAGTTAAAGTATACCGAGGCTTGTGTTTCAAGATGAAATCACTAAAAGAACGTTGGTCTATACTGCCCTCAAGTGGACACTACCACTGGTATTTATGCAGCTAACGAGATGCATAAACTGCATAAATTACCACAAAGAGAAAGTGCACATACGTTCTTCTTATAAAAGCACCCTATACTTTACCCGGGAAACCATATACTTACCGGTTGTGATATGAGTAGCTTATTTATTATTGTACCGTAAGAAGACATTGTCCGTATAGTACGATGTTTTTGAGATGTCATTGGTAGAAATTTCAGTAAATGGGAAAATTCGGAAATCAGTCTAACCTCACTACTGGTTTTGAGACAATATAAAATTGATTGCACGTTCATACCCTAGCCAAGGTGATTTTGTAGAAGACTTACTTATTGTGAGCTAGTTTTAAACGTTTTGAAAGCAGAACACTGTGTATAATTTCCAATATACAACCAATATTTATCACTGGTATTTAGTTATACTGTCAGTGATAGTCGGAAAGCATATTACATACTGATGGATGCAACTTACTTTCTATAAGCGATTCAATGAGTCCAAAAATCCGACAGCCGATTCTCGGGCCACTATCCACTGGAGAATCTGGAACGTCATCTGAAGTGTCCGGAATTCCCTTAGACATTGGACAACGAACCAAATGGGCATTAGTTACAACAACTCGAAGAGTTCGTGAGAACAAAGTAAGAAATCCATCTCTGTTTGGATAATCAAGAGAATCAAATAACTGTGAAGTAGGAGGGGGATTGTTATCCAACGACCATAATGTGACACCTCGTGCTAGGAGCGTAACCAGATCAAATATAGCGCTATGAGTAGCCAAGCTAACGAGACTAGCAGTAAACTCACTATATGGGACAGGAACATTGCAATCCATATGCGAGACCTTTTTGAAGAAGTTTGGAAGCAATTGATTAATGTGAATCATTACTGCATAAGTATAAAAAACGCCCAGTATTTAGACAAAAAGTGAATGAATGTCATCAGATTATAAGAAATTTAAAGGCTTATGCAGGTAAATTGTAAGGAACCATAACTTTTTTACTAGGAATTATCTTTCATTACCCAGCATTCTAAGACTAGGATACATCTAAATTAATGGTTGGGGCAGATGCTGATATTTTGGAAATACTAATAATTAAACACCCGTGACTATCGTTTGGGACGACTAATACTTAGCTGAGAAAAACTGTACATGTATGTGACCTCTATACTCTAAATTTACTACGTAGAATAAACCAAACACCGATGTTGGTGTTAGTAAGTGGAACTAAGTTCCTTCTGCATAATTCGCTCGTAATTTGTGAGTCAATGTGTACTTAACCATCAACATAGACTAACTAATCTATATATTTGAATACCTACTCTTTGATCTTTAGGTATAGGTATAAAGCAAAGAAACTGGGTTATGTATTACAAACTTCATGCACCTATTATATTATTGCAGAGTTGGAACATAACTAAAAAATCCCTTCGTCTATGACAAGTCTGATAATCTAGTTCCCTATAAAAGATCTATGGTACGGACAGTTATGGAATACGATAATGTTGTAGTTCGATATATTGAACAATTAAATTGACTTGGTCAGATGGTATAATATTTAAATAACGTAAAATTATCATCCAAATATATTCAATTGATATTAAACATTGAGAAATATACAAATCACACTGGAAAAAAAAAGAAAAATAGGGTAAGAACCAAAACAATGGGAATTATCGAGTATTATATATCTCAATAAGTGCAGTCAATACGTAATCTGCTTTGAGTTAAACTTCATTAGAATTAGTGATAATATCCAAATGTCCAAACTGAAGTAGATGGAAAAAATTTTTGAACCTTTGATCAACTATCTGAAAGCCGAACGTATTAACAACAAAGCGATTGTTAGGTTATGGTGCACATGGGCTCTAGGATTCTGAGGGAACAAATAGCGTATGAACCAATTATTGGTCACCAGGTACCATGAGACTGCATCTCCTTACTTTTTTCCACTGCCTTGTGGATCAGACCATTAGGTCGAAGGCTCTGGGAGTGGCCCACTAAGAAAACCACCTGCTTCTGTCTGGGCACTCGGACACTATCACAGCCCACACACAAATCAAGTGACTTGTGTGGCGCATGTGAATTCGGTGCTCCTTTGTACCAATAATTGCGTTCAAACAAATAGATAAACAAATAAAACATGGGTTGAACTCTGAATGTTTCTATGATAGTTATGATTAAAAGCTTGAAAAAGTCATTTAAATAAGGCACGAGATAGATAAAGTTGATATTTGATTTCATTATTATCAATTGCTCAATGATTTTCTGATTATTTTACTTTGATATACACAAGATTCAAATCAAAGCCAACTAGTATTCATGACTGATATATTGTGATGGAAATAAAGACTGAAAGTTTCGTAGACAAGGATTAAAGGATAAGTAACGAACATAAACTAAAGACGGATGGAAAAATCTTGTTTTTCAACCCTGAAAAATAGAATATTTCAAATGTCGGGAAACGAAAGTAAGCGTGATATCGTTAGTTAATAATAGATAATTCTAGAATAATAATTGGTCTCTTAGGAATGATAAAGCTGGTGAAAATAAAACTATGACCAGTGACTGACCTGGGGTGGACTGAAATCCATACGATCTAATTTCCCAACTAAAAATCGAAATACATCGAGATTCTGGATCGATATTTGAGCACAATGTTCAGAAATAACAAATATATTCTCATCAAGATTTTGTGACTTCGCGTAATCAGAAAGTTCGTAGGTTGAGTCAGGACTCGGATCCGATGAGTTACGAGAAACTGACCCCGAATGAGTGAAAGCAATTGCACAAACTGCACCAAATAACAACAATGGCCCGTGCACCTGATACTCCCCAAGGTTCGATAGACTAGCTAGCAGTCGATTTAGTAAATTCGAATCATATAGGAAGTGAGCGGGTACTTCATCTTTTGAACTAGTGGTATTTTCTGAAGCCAATTTTGATTTAGATGCAACATTAGAATTTTTCAACCTGCGGTAGGGCAATGCGAAGTCATCGAGTGACCTATGAAAAACAAAATAATTTGGAAATTTATGTGTGCAGAATATCATACCACAAAAATTACTAACGTTCAACTGTAAGTCAAAACAATATTGTTATGAAGATTCATGATAACGAAAACTTACTGATTCGAAAACAAAACTATAGAATCCAAATTCGCTGCTCGAATAAGAATAAGTGTCTGTGTGAAACTAAAACAAACAAAAGAATTTATGATTTATTATCACATTATGCAACAACAAACAAAGGAAGGAACAAAGTTCTGAATTAAATGAAAGTTATTGGCTATTTAAGTTTTTAGACATGATATTTTCAGTCAGCTACAACGTAAGACCAGGCACATATATGCATCAGTCCAAGTTGTCGTACCTCGTTAGCACGACAAGATGAACACCAAATTCATAGAAGCAGTCGCTTTAATGGTAGTAAAAAAAGATTTCATATAAGGATATGATAAAGGGAGAATTAGTCCGTAGAAAGAGCGGTGTAAGGTAATTTTAATTTCACGGTTTAAGGGAAGACAAAATGTGTATACACCTACGCCCCTGTTATCGATACTGGGTGGTCACACAGTCTCTAACTACTGGTGACGATAGTAGTGCGAACCCCAACCAAGTAATTTTCATCTATAACATAACTCAGACCAAAAGTTAGCGACTTTATGGACTGATGTCGCGCTTTGGTTTGGTCGCTCATCACTTTCTTTCATCTGTCCAACACTAGTCAGAACTAAGCGTCGTGGTAATAGGTGTTCAAGCATACGTAACATTTGGTCCAACCACCTCAGTCGATGAAGATCCACAACTTCAACTGATTTATCATTTCCTAATACCTTGCATCTAACTGCACTATTACTTACCCGGGGATCCCGGCAAATGCGAGTAATATTTCTAAGAAATCTATTATCAAATACTAGTAACTTAAGAGCATCTCTTACGCCCAATGGCCACGTTTCACAGCCGTAAAATTAAACAGAACGAACTGCTGCGCAGTATACTCGTTCCTTAATTGATAGATGTCGCCTTTATCATAGGTGACGTAAGTCGGCAAAAGCCAAGAAAGTTTTTCGAATCCGTACAGAAATTTCGTCAGAACCAAACCCATTACAGCTGATCAGACTTCCGAGATAAGTGTTTATTTTACAGGTCCTTCGACAAATTAATTTTGTCTAGGTCAGTGATTTGTTTGACTGGAAATTCCAAAAATATCGATGTGTGAAGTTTGCGTTGCAAAACGAGGATAGTTTTTGTTACAATTACAAGCAATGAGTGAAGCCAAATATCCCATACATAAAGTGTCCTACTACACAGCACACTATTCAGAGAAAAGATGTATATTGGAAAAGATTTGTTGGAGTTAAAAATCTACTAGACTGAATTGCAAAATATCCCTTATAATGACCACTGAAATTATTGCTGAATAATTTAGTTATGTTTAAAGTGAAACTCAAATATTAACGACATTAATACATACCAAATTTGGTCCACCATCAAATTATTTGTCCTAAGATTTTTGAGAGACGATCCGAAGGAAATAGACTAAAACATAAGTTACATAGTGTTAGAAAATTACCCAGAACGTCTCCAACACTTTTTTAAACACAACGGGAGAATTTTTATTCATACCATTAAGACAAAGGCCATGAACACCTAGAAGGATAAGTTCAAGCAGTTCAATTAACTCCTTTAGTTTTTGGGCAGTAATCACACCAAATTGATTCGATTCATCAGCTCCAACTGTGTTACGATTCGAAACAAAACCCTGGAATGCAAAGTCTCAATACTAATAAGATAGGACGTACTGAAGATGAATGACTCCAACTTTCAATTAAAGAGCATGTATTTTGGTGCTGAATGAGATATTCATCTAAAGCCTAAGCTAATAATTTAAATACGATCAATCTACATCAACAACTAAATCCTTGCAGCTTTCGTATGATGTCATTGCAAAAAGAACATCGGAAATCAGTGACCAAGAATCGTGCCATTGGCAAACGCATAGCTTCAGAAGTCTAATTAGACATATGCGATCTTTCCAGTAGAACCGTCGAATGTCTTCCAAGAGGCGATTTGCTGACCAACCTGAAAGCACCTCCTAAAACAATTAAAATACTAAGGAAGAAGTTACATCTATATGATCATCCGGAATATCTTCAACAGCAAGGAAATGAACTAGAATTTCATGACTTAGAGATTCAGAAAGATCCTAAGCTATATGACTATTATTGATTTACACAAACCAAGAATCCAGACATCTTTTTGACAAAGAGTCGCACATGCTCTTTGGACAAAGTATCAGGATTACTAATAAGGAACTTGTATTGATGAAAAACTGAACGTACCCAACCTGAGAATAGTACTTGAAGCCATGTTGTAGTTGTGCTCCAACGCTTGACAGAGTAGATAACAAAAGCTCCTATGAAAAATTCATTCATAAAGACAGATCTTACTTCGTCATGATTACCACAGACGCCTAAGCACTTTTTCAGACCGAGAGAGCAAGCCATTTCGAAGCGCACACTTTCATATGAGTATACACAACCAAGGTCGAATAATTCAATAATCGGTATTTCGGAGGTGAAGCATTGTAAAAAAAATTGACTACTTAAATCCTGTGTTTTGGTGAACAACAGAGGTCCCGGATTATTTTCATGAATTACTTAAAGGTTTTGAATAACTCAGAGTCAAAACTCTTAGTATTAAATCTTCAGTCTTCAGTAATAAGGATAATAGGTTGGTGACCTGTGTTAATCCTGACAGATTGCCTTCCAGTGAAGGTCCAGGTTCTCCTTGAAAATACTCACTGGTGGGTCTGATACCACTTGTTCGGGTAGGGCGTTCCAATCATTGACTACTCAATGAGAAAAACGGAACCTTATTTTAATTTTATTAGATTGCGGTTTATGAACCTTCTTGTTATGACCTCAGAGATTATTAGTGCTGTAGAGAGCAAAAAGATGAGACATATAAACACGCAAATCATAATAAAAGATATCAAATGCCAGTATAAGGTCACTTCGCGTCTTACGATACGATAAGGGGAAAAGGTTTGGGCGTTTTAAACGCTCATCGTAAGAGAGTTTAGAAAGACCCTTCACTAATTTCGTTCTCAGACGCTGGACACGCTCAAGTGAGTTAGTATCCTTTACCAGACGTGGACTAGCTGATTGGATACAGTACTCTAAATATGGTCTTACGTAGGTGGGATATAAAATTTTAAACATTTCCTCGTCAAAAGATTTGAACGTACAACGAATTGACCATAACGCACGAAAACATTTGACAGCGGCTGTGTTTGCATTCAATTAGTTTCAGTTTGAAAAAGACAGGAGACTTGATGGCTTGTGTTAGTCCTCGTAATGATGGTCTCTTAGTCAACCCAACTTTCCCTTGAAAAAGTGGACGGATGGAGCCTCATCCGCGTGCTGAGTTAATGAGTTACACTCATTGATGATTCGATGGGAAAGTCGATAGTCAGCTGACAAATAATTTGTTCTGGGCTTGTGAACATTTTTGGAGTGTCCTCGTAAATTCTCTGTTTTAGAAGACAAGAAAAATGAGGGCATATCAAGTGCAAATTTATCACTAAGCAATTTGAAAACTGTAATCAAGTCGCCTCTAGCTCTACGATATGACAACGGGAAAAGGTTTAGCTTGGCCAGTCGATCATCATATAGAAGCTTCGCTATTCCGGGAATCAGCTTAGTTGCTGTTCTCTGAACCCTTTTCGGAAGCTCACTTTTTTTAAGCAGGAACTAGCCGTTTCTATGCAGTACTCAAGTTTAGGATGTACGAACACTGTACACAAAGTCGGAATCGTTTTGGCGTCGACATGAATAAAAGCACTGCGTATTGACCATAAGGTTATAAAACCTTTGATGGCTATTGAACGGCAGTGTGCAGTAGTCTTTAAGTCTTGGCTAACGACGACTGCTAAGTCATTATGTGTGTGGACGACAGGTAGCTCAGTGTTATTCCTCGTGTATGCATCTGTACCTTGATGACCGATGTGCATCACAACACAATTGGAAGTATTTATCGGCAACTGCCAGGTTTGAGACCATTCAGATAATCTCTTCAGGTGATTTTGGAGTTCTAAGCTATCACCCTTACATCGTATCGTTCTCCATATCTTGATATCGTCAGCATATAGCAAGACCAATAATGATAGAAGACGAGGAAGGTCATTTACATACGAGAAGAATAGCACTGGCCTCAAAGCTGAGCCCTAGGGCACTCCACTAAGTACCGTTTCCAAGCTAGAAAACTTTGAGTTCACCCTACTTTTTGTTGGCACCAAACTAGGAAGTCTTTTATCCATATCAATAGATTGACTCCAATTCTGACATTTTTTAGCTAATATAACAGCCGGTTGTGCGGAACTTTGCCAAAAGCTTTTCTGAAATCAATGTAGGCTACGTCTACAGGTAACTTTAAGAGCGCAACAACTTTCACAACAGACTAATAAGTTAGTGAGATTCGAATAACCTATCCTGAAACCATGCTGCTTCTCTGAAAGGATCCGGTTTTCAACGAGGTACTCAAACAGCTTCTTCCGAGTAACCTTTTTTAAAATTGTAACAACCACACTAGTTAGGTTAACGGAGCGGTAATTCTCAGGTTTATGTTTCGTACCTGTTTTTAAGACAGGACTTACTATGGCGTTCTTACAGTCTTTTGGTAAATGACCCTGCGTTAAGGATAGATTAAAGCACATACTTGAAGGATTCTCAACGAAGTTAGATAATTACTTTAGTGGCCTAGGATGCGATTCATCTGGTCCCGTGGATTTACCTATGTCAAGCTTATTTAGCAGACCAAAGACATCGAGTTCTTTAATTGTCACGCTATCCAGTGTATGTGTAGGGATATTTTTATGCGCTGACGGGAAGGGTGCTTCTATGGTATATACATTGCTAAAGTAGTTCGAGAATATTTGAGCCTTACCAAAGTCATCCTCCACTAGTGACGCGACAGTACTGTGGACCTCCCTACTGAATCATAGTGGAGAGTTTCTCGGCCCTCTTGGCATAGTCCAAGGGAAGTGAGGTGCGGTAACTTTAAAGTGTGAATTTCGAAATGCGTCCCAAGCAATTTCAATAGAGGACTTTGAGTCTATTGTTCGATCTATTAACGATGCTGAGTGCATGATACATGGTACGTTTGCTTTTCCGACGTTAGGTCCGTGTTGAGCTAACGCGTGCTCGTGATTGACATTTATATGGAAGTCAAAGTTAAAATTGCATGACCCCATTTACCAAGGGGTGTCATGTAATGGAGGTTCGCAACGTCATCCTAATAGCGGGGCAATATGAGATCTAGTAAGGATGATTCAGGGTTCGAGTCGTACCTAGTCACTTCTTTCACATGTTACAACTAGACACACGTGATAGCCGCATCAACTAGTTCCTGCTCGAAGAAATTATCTGACGATTCAGTTCGCAAATTTTCCCAGTCTACCACTGGTGCATTAAAGTACGCTAGGATTAGACATCGATCACTTTGTGACCAAGTATTTAGATTGCTTAGCAGAACTTCATTTACCTCACAGCTTGGACTGCGATAGACCAAACCAGGCTACAAACTAATTCACACGTCCTACTCTCATGAGATACACTGTCGATAATGGCAAATGGGATAGCATGCCCAATGAATAGAGCTACTCACCCTCCTATACGCTTTTGTATTCTGTTGGCCATTACTAACATAAAACCATCGAAATCAAGTTCCATACTATCTATAGGCTGTGTCAGCCAGGATTCTGTGACTGCGATTATGTCTGGCTTTGTAGAGTCAATTTACAATTTTTATGTCTTTTTCGCCAGTGTCTAAACCAATTTGTACTTATTTTTCGACTTCCCGTCTGTCAACGGCAAGTCTTTAAGGATAAAAACTTCTGAACCCTTTAATTTATGCACATTCTGTATAATTTAGTCGCGTTCATTCGAAGATTTGAATACTACTTTAAGCAATCTGGATTGATTAGGCTTCAAGTTCGCTAGACCACCTAGTCTGTACACTTTCAGCAATGTGACTCCAGTGATATTTTAAGGCGTGAGTTGATTAAGTAGCTGTTTTATCAGCCTAATGTCATGCTCAAAACTTTTTTCTATGAAAAATAACTGATCTGTCACCGTGATGAGCCTTCGATTTCTTGACTGATTTTATGGGGGCAGGATTCCCTTTTATGTCGCAATGTTGTTTCTTCCTTACAACCTGTACCCATTCGTCAACTTGTTTGAATACTGTTTTTCCTCCTTATTAGGTAAAAACAATAGTCTATACACGTAATAAACTATCAAAACAATAGAATTAGCTCATCGAGGAAAAATACCACTGATAGATGGATTGTTCACCGTAACCACATTGTCAGTAAATCATAACCACGATTTACCGAAAATTTTCATGAGCGAAACCCATGACTTCGTCGTCTAACGGATCAAATAGAGAGAGCATTCGCCTTTAAGACCTTCATTGTAATGGATTTCGTTTACGAAATTTAGGGAAAGTGGATCTATGTATTATGCGTCGTGGTGCTTAAGCAGTCACAACTTAAAGCTTTGTTTACTAGATTCACAACGTTGATTTTATGTGTAGTTCAGAAATCTTCACATTGTACATCGTTCAGCTGGAAGGTAAATGACAGAGACAGCATGACGTAGACGGTTAGCCACAGTGTTGTTTCTTCCATAAACGAGATCAGAACAAAATCGCAGGCACATATATCTTATAAGTTGATGGAATCATGATTTGGCGTGAAGTGTCAAGAAGAAGTGAAATAGCTCTCTTTAAAGCCGTCTTGACAAATGATTGAACAGTCTTTCACTTTTACTAAAACCCAAATTTTTCGAAAAATAAAGAATAAATATGTGTATACCTATTTTTATTCATTTTTACAAATTGACGTCGTCATTTATATACTTTTTGGAATTCCATTACATTTGATAGGTAAACCTCGATTACGTGGAAGTCGAAGATAAACTAGCGAGACCACGTAATAAGTTATGAAATATTGTCGTGGTTTACATATGTTTGACGTAATCGTTATCAATGTAATAGGTTATAAATGAAACATATCAGTCGGTATTTATGAAGTGCAGTTGGGTGAAGATATTCATGGTACTCACTTGCGTTGATCGGCTCTGACAAAGTTCATTAACGAAATATCTGTACTCGTTTCAATGTTAGATACACTAATAATGGAATCAGTAATAAACATGCCCATTCTGCACATTTATTTAAAGACACATATGTCGGCATAAAACTAAATTTTATATTATCACAAAACATCTGTAGGACTTCAACATTTTTAATGTAACCCACTTTTAATTCTCTGACGTATTATTATACTTTGGATACGGAACAAAACCACTACTTTCACTTGTCAGATCAGCTTATTTTGGAACGAAATTAACAGCGTTTCCATTGTAATGATTGTAATCATTAATGTAACGACTTAGAATTTGAGCCTTTTTTTACTAATTTATTGTAAATTATGATGTATTTCAAGTGTAAAATAATGGTATCCA